GGAAGCACTTCTTGATGGCGTGCAGGAGCATCGACCGGCGTGGTTCCGAGAAATTTATAATGCAGCGCCTAAAAACTACTCGGAATTTGAAAAGAAACTACAAGAGTGCGAGAAGCTATGGAAACGAATGAACAAAGATAAAAAGGCACCTGAATCGACACAGAAAAATGCCCCTTCAGAACCGAGAAGTGCCGGCAATAATAATAATAATAATTCGAATTATGAAAATCGAGGCGGCCGCGCCGGTCCGTCTCAGAGAGGAAATTATTATTCGAACCGGGGAGGCCGTGGAAATTACGGCAATAATCGAGGTGGATACTCCCGCTCGTACACGGAAACGGTGATTCCGCAGCCGCAGAATACGGTGGCTCCAATCCAACCCGTCCTGAATGTTCCCCAGCCGCAATTTGTTCCAGTTCCGGTGTATTCACAGCCACCATTTGTTGAACAACACCCGGTACAATTTGCGCAGACTTTCCCTCAACCAATTCCTATGCAGGCTCCTATGCCTGTCCCAGTTCAAATGATGAATCCAATGATGCCGGTTATGCAGCCGCAATTCCAACAACCGGTGCAGAATTTCGATCAGCAGTACCAACAGAATGGCCCTGCGAATAACAACAATTATGATGGCGGTAATAACCGTGGAAATTACCGAAATAATAATAATAATAATAATTATCGCGGACGCGGGGGTTTCAACAACAATAATAATCGTCAGCAAAATAACCAGAATTACCGACAAAATCAGCAGGCCGGTAGTCAGCCTCCCTTTGATGAACGAAATATCCTGAAAGACAAATGGCGAACAAATCGCGGAGTCGAGATTTGTTTCCGCTGTCATGGTCTTCATCCGGCTGCAGGTTGTACGAACCAGTTTGTACTTCCTCGTCAGTATGAACCGTCTGCAGAATTATTAGCAAGGTACAACAACCCGCAGCAGCAAATTAATATGATGGAGTTGGACTTACCGGCTGGTTTGTCTTCGCCGACGCCCCAGTGTAACAAAATGGAAGTCCAGGACTTTTCGCAGTACCCTCTAGCGGATCATGTGTGTCTGTTGCCAACGCTCGATGCCCAGGCTTGGTATTCTGTAATCGACATAAATTATCAGAAAGTAAAGACTATGCTGGATACTGGTTCTAGCATTTCCGTTATGTCTTTAAAAATGGCTAAAGATTTAAAATTAAATATACATCGTTGCCCGGATCACATTAAAGGCAGAGTTGTCCACACAGCTTACCAGGGAAGACAGTTGATTGAGCCGTTGTCGGTGGTGGTCACCATCCATGAATTTGGGATGGCTTTTGAGCACGCAATGCTTGTGAGTTCCACTTTCGATAGGGACCACGTTGTTTTAGGTTTAGACTTTTTAGCTACAAAGCCTTTTATCTTAGATATGAATACTATGACTTGGCGCCTCTCGCGTAGACAGCTTAACGCTCCGGCATTCTTTCGCCGCGAAACTCACCTGATGTCGGATGTCATCCGCGCTCACGATTTTGACCCGCTAATTCCTCCGGGAGTTAAGCCGTCTCCTGCAATTCCTGCCTTGATGTTAACTGAGCGCATTGGTGTCGCTAAGGAAGCAAAATTTGTGCCATACGAGTCTGCACATTTAATTTTGGCAAAAGCTGACCCAGAAATTTGTATCCTACACTTACAAAAAGCGAAGCAGGAGTGGCCGCGTCCAGTCGCGCCACCACCAGTGACTAAAGTGGCTGAAGCCCCGGTGAAAACGGAAGGTAAACAAATTGTGCCCGTACAGGTGGCACCGGCCAAAAAGGGATCCGACCAGCGTGATGAAGAGTTTGTGCGCAGTGTAGTACAGGAGATGATTCGTCAATATCTCCCTAGAGCAGCTTCCGTCGTGGATGAACCCGTTCGTCCTGCAATTAAGCAAGAGATTAAGACGGAGAAAAACCCAGAACCAAGTCAAGTTCGTGGGGGAGGCGGTGAAACAATTGCAAATAGTATGCAGTCAAGTTCGCGGGGGAGAGAACAGGCGTCTTTCCAGCCGCCAATTAAAAAGGAAAAAGTTTCACAGCCGTCTTCGGCAAGCAGTCCTAGTACTTCGTCTTCGGCATCGGTCAGCCCTGTGTCTAATTCCGGCTCCAGTCAAGTTCGTGGGGGTGACGACTCCCTGCAACTTCCAATCCAAATTTCGTCAGTGGACGCAGTACTGAAACAACATCCTGCGGCAAAATATCTCTACATGGGCGTTTTAGAAAAATCAGCGAAGGTTGTCGAATGTCTAAGCATGGACAATAAGCTGTTGAATGTCATACCTGTTGAGCGTGACCGCAGAGACGTTGATGAAGTCCACGATTATCCGTCCTTTATGGCACGCAATCCAGAGTTGAAGAAATGGATGACGCCGATGGATAGGCCACAGGATAAACAGTTGTTTCCCTCGGAGCAACGCTTCAGAGATCCGCAGTTTTGGCGCGAAACTCAACAGCAATGTGTTGATAGCCGGATGTGGTATAAAATGTACAAGAAGCCGTCGCATGCTAATACCAATTTTACCAAGTATGAAATAAATCGGTTTATAATCTGCGAAGGGATTTTGTGTAGAGTACCTGATCATTCCGGTGCATGTCCGAGAATTTACGTGCCGCATCAATGGCGACAGAAATTAATCGCCTGCTTCCACGAAATTCTAATTCATAAACAAGCATACGGCCGGCACGAAAAATTATATCCGTATTTAGTAAAATTGTTTTACTGGCCGGACTGCATAATAGAAATCGAACGGTACGAGAAAAACTGTGATGTTTGTCGAAATTCAATTAATGACCGTCGGCATTTTGAAACAATTAAAAGAAATGAACAGTTGGCCGCGCAGAAAGTTACAGGAAAACGCAAGGTTACCTTTTCTGTCGATAATCCAGCCCCGGCAGGAGAATTCGAAAATGGTAGCTTCATCCCTGCTGATGGAATGAAACCCATTAACATCGGCCCGTGTCCGGTCTCCTTCGAAGATAAACAGGCGGAGAAGCAAAGGGAAATAAATTCTCAAATGATTCGTAACTCACCGCCGCCGAAGCCGTCTGAGTTCGTTTCAGAGGATGCCAGAACGACTTACGATGTCTCGACAAATGTTAATATTAACGAGCAGTGGGAAATCTGGAACGAAATTCAGAAACGGAAGGCATTGAGTGAATCTGCAGCTGTTAATCCAGCACAACCTACCGTGGGAAATTACGAACCATCACCGGAAGGTTCGGGAAGGAATTCTCCCAGGCGTAAAAAATCCAGTTACAGCCGCAGAATTCGGCGGGAGTTCGCAGAGCGCGAGGCTGCGAGCCAGAAGTCGGCCGAAACCGTGCCGCCAGTCCCCACTCAGCAGTTGCCTGTGGTTAAAAACTTGCCCAAGCGGTCACAGGATGTCCGTGAGTCCTCAGATATTCCGGCATGCGTGTATTCGAAGGATGTCATCGAACTGGCGTACAGGGACGCCCATCTGAAACAGGCACAAGCGCAGGTTGAAATTAATTCGGTAGAACAGGATATTTACCGCTTCGAGCCAGAACCCGGCCCGATTGATTGCTTTAAAATGGAGCTGTTTCCAGCTTCGCCGGTCATAATTCAACCCCACTCGCAGGGAATTATCCGCGCTACGACGTCTATGTCTGATGAGCAATTCATGGAATTTCAGGATGAGTATTTATATACTCAGCCTTTTCTCTACGAAGGAAAAATTCCTGAATCAAACAAGAATGCGGTACTACTGGACGGCGTTTTAACGCTTAATGAGTATGGTAATTGTAGAGTATGCGTTGTAAATGTCTCGGACAAACCGCTGGTTTTAAACGAAGAAACTAACCTTGGCGAAGTCGCGCTTGTCGATGCGGTATATCAGATGGACTCTCCAGAGTTTCAGGAGAGTTGTCAAGAAGCGATTAATGGTGTTCCCAGTGATGACAAGGGCATTCCAGTGCCAAGAAAAATTACCGAATGTGTGGCTATGCAGTTGCCGCCACCCGCCGTCAGTGCCGTTGATCCTGAAACAGAGGAAACTTTCTCAAAGATCAAAGTGGGAGATATTTGCCCTAGCAAGGATGAACTAAAGGCTATATTCTATCAGGCAAAATCAGTTCTACCGACTAAAGCCCGCCCTGTGGGATGCTGTACCATTTATGAGCACTCCGTGGATACAGGCACAAGTTTGCCGGTTAGAACTCCCCCGTATCGTACGTCTTTTGAAGATAGGAAATGGCTCCAGGCTAAAACTCAGGAAATGATTAAAGACGGCATTATTGAGCAAACAAATTCGGCGTGGGGCAGTCCTATTTGCATCGTAAAGAAGAAGGATAAATCCCGGCGTTTAACCGTGGATTTCCGTAAGCTTAACGAAAGATTAATGGGCAGCAGTTACCCGCTTCCCAGAGTTGACGACATATTAAATGCCCTCGATAAAGCTACGGTTTTTAGCAAAATTGATTTAAAGAGTGGCTTTTGGCAAATAAAAATCAAACCGGAAGACAGATGTAAAACCACAATGGTTGGTGAGGAGTTCACGTTTCAATACAAAGTCTTACCTTTTGGGATGAAGGACGCGCCTTCGGCTTTCCAGCGCGCCATGGATTTAACGCTTGCGAACATGAAGTGGAGGAACGTGTTGGTTTTTATTGATGACATTATTGTCTTCAGTAAAAACCTGGCAGATCATATGCGTGATTTACAGGAGCTCTTTTTGCGGCTCCAGGAATGCGGCTGGACCATTAACCCTGAAAAAACAGAATTATTTGTTAATTCGATTACCTTTTTGGGTCATACGGTCGATCAGTTCGGTATAAGTACGGATCCAGAGAAGATCCAGGCGGTTAAGGAATTCGGCCCTATAAAAGACAAAAAAGATATATTACGGTTCCTAGGCATGGTGGGATATTATCGCCAATTTATTAAGAATTTTCAAGAGATTGCGGAGCCGCTTCAAAAGTTGATTCCTAAAAAAGTTACCTTTGAATGGGGAACGGATCAGTGTAGGTCTGTAGAACAACTGAAGGAGGCCTTGGTGACGGCGCCGGTCTTGGCCCGTTATGACCCGGAGGCTTTGTCGCGTGTTATTGTCGATGCAAGTACTATTGCTGTGGGTGCAGTCCTTATGCAATGTCCCAAGGATAAACCGACGGATGTGCCGACAAATTGGCGTCCTATTGCCTATTTAAGCCGCAAGCTGACTGAAACACAGAAAAGACTGTATTTCCCTACTGAGCTTGAAGCTTACGCGGTTATCTGTGCCTTAAAGAAGTGGAAGCATTATTTGTCTGACTATCAGTTCGAAGTACAAACCGATCACCAAGCATTAGTGTTTTTAAATAATATGCGCGATGCCGCTGGCCGCCTCGGGCGCTGGGCGTTATATATCCAGCAATTTAATACTAAGCCTGTTCACATACTGGCAAAGAGAACGTTATTGCTGACGCCTTGAGTAGAAACCCAGGAGAGCAACCGGAACCCGACTCCGACGATTCGGATATCGAATTTGACTATCGGCAAACTTCGCCTTTTGCCGGTGATGCAGCGATGATTGAATGCTGCTTTGCGGTTTTGGAGAGAGATTACGTGGACACCCGGTTCGAAATGATGTCGGCTGAGGTTAAGGCAGTCTCCCAGGAGGACATGCAGGCCTTCGACGCCGATAAAGTCCAAAAGTTGATTACTGATGACAAAGCTTCACACTGGGCCGAGGAGCAGTCTCGTGACGCTCGCATTGTCAGATGGCGATTGCTCCTAGAGAATAAAAAGGAAAAGATGTCAGAGCACGAGAAATTGCACCTAAACAAATTTGTAGTGAAACAGGGCGTCGTATACTACAAGTTCGAATTAAACCGGAAGATCTATTACTGTATGTATGTACCTGTTCACTGGCGGCTTCAGTTCCTTCAGGATAACCATGATTCCCCGCTAGCGGCACACTTGGGCGTCCTGGCCACCTATAAAAGGATGTACAAGTATTTTTATTGGCCCCGTATGTTCGAGTCTGTTAAAAGTCATTGCGCTTCTTGCCCGGCGTGCCTTGCACAAAATCCTCTTGCTACGGCACCGGCCGGTGCTCTCCAGTCAAACCTGACCGTTCCTCCTCGGTTAGTTTGGGCAATTGATGTTGCTCCGGCCCTCCCAACGACGGAATCTGGAAATAAAAACATAATAATCGCTGTCGATTACGGAAGCAAATATATAGTTGCAGAGGCAGTTGAGAGAAATGACGCTGCCACTTTGGCGTTGTTCTTTTATCGTCGTATCCTCACGGTCTTTGGTATGCCTGTACACATCACTTCAGACCGCGGCAGTAATTTCATGTCAGAAATGTTTCGAGAGAGCTTCTCGCTCTCGCTGGTGTTGCTCATGCACCGACGGCGTCAGGCCACCAGCAGGGTAACGGTCTTGTTGAAAAACGTGTAGGGGAAATCAAAAAGGCGTTGGCGAAGTATGTTAATGAACAGCAAAGTGACTGGGATATATTCCTCCCAGCACTTTGTGCGGCATTTAACAGTAAGGTTGTGGAGCGAACGGGCCGCTCACCATTCTTCATGATGCACGGCACCGAGATGCGCTTACCGATAAATAACTTCCTGCCATTTGAAGAGGATTTCGTGATTCCCGCTCACGTATATGTACAGCAGATGCAGCGCGGCCTTGGTGAGGCCTTGGACTTGGTGAATGCAGAAGAGTTTCGCCATAAACTTAAGGACAAAATTCGTTACGATGCCAATATTTCACATGTATCGTATAAACCGGGAGATCAGGTTCTGGTGTACGTACTCCATCGGAAAGTGGGGAAGAATCCATCCCTTATGCCCCGTTGGACCGCTGGATGGGAAATTGTGCGTCAGTCAGGGCCAGTACATTATGTAGTAAAAAGTAACCGGCGCGGAAATGTCAAAACTGACACTGTACATGTCAGCCGTTTAAAGCCGTATAATTTCCGCGACGTTGATACTATACTGCAAGACGAGCACTTACCGAAGTTGCTCGATTGTGTGGAGAAGGAATGCCCCGATGAATTAGTTGAGGCGCCCGCGCCGCCGCCGGTGATTCCATCCGTTGATTCAGCATCGTCGCGCCTTGATGCTGAGTACGCCGAATATCTGGATAACCAGATGGAGGCGGTTCCACTGCTTAGAACCCGCTCCGGGCGTGTGGTGAAACCTGTGGAAAGACTTGTAAACCAGATGAACGACAAAAAGCGTAAAAGAGACCCGTCGGCTGATGCTAAAAAGCGTATGGCCACAAATGATAGGGAACCGGCTTTTCTGAATGTATCCCAGCCGGGAGGGGGCCACTCTGAACTAGTTGCCCCGGTGGCCAGTGATACTCCGCCAATTACCTGTAACGCAATGGAGATTGGGCCGTCACAGCCACCAAAAACTGCCTTGCCTATTGTAGAAGACAGAATTCTTCCAGTTCCGGCTTGGGCACGTCCAATTGAGCAGTTCTGGCCGCAAGGCGTAATATCCGATGACGCCCTTGATAAACAGGAATTCTGGAGGTATCGACAAATGGAGTGTAGTGACATGATGTTGTGGGACGCCGTTGTTGATGGAGACTGCACTCTGGAGGAATCTGCATACGCGGCCTGGCATCTCCTCTAGTTCTAAAAGTAAAAGGCATTATCTGCCATTACGGCGAAAGAGAGGATATCCAGAAAAGAATCCCTAAAATTTTGATCCCGTTTCAATGGCGTAAAATATTAGTTGAATCAGTACACCGTCGGTTACTCCATAAGTATGGCAGTGCCATTTCGCCATATGATTACTTGTATAAAAACCTTCGGTTTTTCTGGCCCGAAATGAAGTCTGATTTAGCGAAATTTTGCCGGATCTGTACCTTATGTAATCTGGATTAAAAGGCCGAGCGGCCGTGTAAATTTGTACACTTATTCTATTTTATTTTATTTTTGAATTTTAAGAATTGGAATTTTTACTTTCTATTGCATTAAATTGTTTGGAAAATTCCCATTAAATCTGTATGTACGTACGGATTGAGTAGCCGCATTCGCCATTGGACAGTCCGCGATGACGTAGTAGCGTTCGTTGCTCTTTTTGCATATCAGCTGCGCAGGAAAGCTGCTGATAGCTGGCTGCAAATGATCTTCGTACCTGCAGATTAATGTTAGCTGTCAATTCACTCTCAGCCTCGTCAGAATTTGCTCCTTCTTACACGGATTTTACGGTTGATAATTACTGTATATTGCTATAATGCATCGCCCGAAAGTACCGTCGCATCCTTCCTTTCAGCATGAGGATACTACGAGTTCCTCGGAAGATTCGGTGCAGGTTTTGGCAGATGTCTTAACTGATGTTCAGCCGCCACAGTATCCGGATCCTCACACCGGATGGCCAGAACCAACATTTGAATGGTCCCATCTCATGGTGGATTGTGGCCTTCGTCCGTCTCCGCATGATTATGCTCGTGGAGGAAAGAATTATATTCCCCCATCTGGTTTGATTAATTGTCCCTACAATCCGGACAGAGATTATGTGGAGCTGCATCCTGAAACTCGATTGCGTTTTCGCGGCAAGATTTACCATAATGGATCGGAAATGACGGTGGACAAATATAACCGTTTTGTCCACACTCTGGATCTGTCAAAGGATGCACATTATGCATTGCTGCGTTACCTGCGAGTGGATTTCCGACAAGGATGGCTCATCGGGCAAATCGTCTGCGAACTTCGTCGGAACTTCGGCATTAATGTTGTGCGTAACCCCATTGAGTTCCTCACTGCACTGGATTATGTCCCGGGGAAACGGGAGACCGTGGTGCCGTTGTTACGCTCGTGGACGCGTATAATCAGCATATCGAGGAGTTGGTTTCCAATATTGACGAGGATCACCGCTTGGAAGCAGAGCAGCGCTATTTCGATCGTCTGAATGCAGCGGATCCGCGCTCGTCATCCCGACAACAGCAGCAACTCCAGCAAACTCGTTGGCTGTTACATGAAGGACAGGAGAAGCGTGGCCCGGGCAAACTGGATGCTTCAATCGCCAAACGCCACCGTCCACGCCGCGATGATGATGATGATATGGGCGCTGCTGTTTAGCCGTTTCCCTGCAACACAGCATTTATTAACCTTGTTACATTATTGTGCCCTCTACTTCGCCACTATCTAGTGTTCTTCACGGTTTGAAATGAGTACCCTTTTTCTTTCTTTGAGTTTACAATTCGGTACAGCCTTTTATCTGTCAGTTTTACAATTAGCTTCTAGCGTTGCTTTTTAGTGCACAACTTTTCTATGTATTGGCTTACCGTTGTCGGCCTTGCACGATATTAAATGGGCAGTTTGGCAGGAAATGGTGGAATAGTGTTAAATCCGATTGTTTAAAATCACAATTCCTGGGAAATCCAAGCAAAACAGTATAGCTAAACATAAAAGGTGTAAATATCATTGCGTTCTGGAAAAATACAAAGTCTTCTCGTTTGAACACGTAAACAATTATGTCACTGCACCAACCGCCCGTGTGTCGTTAAATTTTAGGGCAGTGGCAGTCTCATAGTGCACAGCTGCTTCCGGTCTGCACAGCTGCGGTGTGTCAGCGGTTTTCCTGTTTAGTCTTGCTTTTTACATTTTTAGCTGCAGCTTTTAAACTCTTCAGACCTTGGCCGTCATTTGCTCTGGTTTAAATCTCTGATCTTTCATACAATGGAGATGAAATTTTACAAATCAGAGCGCGGGCGTTTGATTTGCGCGGAACAGGATGATAAGAAACGCCGTAAGTTTGTTAAGTTCTCTGAATCTGTTGCGTATGTTTCCGCGAACCAGGAACACATCGCTGAGTTTGTGTACTTTTGGCGTTCCTTGGTTGGCCCGTATATTTCTATTTCGGAGCTCTGCAAGCTTTCTAATCTGAAATCATGGCCTTAACTTTTGTAGAACCGGAGCCGTTGGATTTCGAGGCTCAGGTGGCTCTGGAGATTGAGAACATCCGCCAGTCGGAGTCGCAGATGTATTACTTGAAGATCGGGTTTATTCTGTATCCCGACGCTCCAGTTCGACGTGAAGCATCTGAACGTCTGCGGAAGGAATGTGGTTTGCCATCCCTATTTAACCCGCCGGAAACTTCGCGTGAGCGTCATCAGCGCATGCTAGAACACAACAAGCGTGTGATGGAGGAGGAACTCTGTTGTGTTGACTGCGAGAATAATGGTCCGGGTTCGTGTGGCCGTATTTTGTACACCTTGGATGATGACGAGCCCGTTCCAAATATCTGGGGATCTGGCAATCTTGAAGACTGGAAAGAACCAGACTTAGATGTGGATGACTGGTGGGCAGAGCACAAGCTCAATTTTAAAGACCCGATGGAATTCTTGCCTGTGGACATGCTGTGGGTGGACGAAGACTTCGGCTCCGATCAGAAACCGAAGAAGAAGCGTAAGCACATCGTTGTGCAGCGTCACCCTCTGCGTGGCATTCCCCACAACTACTGGAAGTGAGGACTTTTGTTGATCGGCCGTTCGTGTGTTTAAATTGTGGTGTAAGATTTAACTCTGTATGAGCCCTTTTGTTGAATCTCTGCTGTTCTGTGCCTTTTTGTGCGTCTTTAATCATGTCTGAGCACAATATGCTTAATCATGTATAATTTTATAGCTGCTGCCTTTTAGCGTTTAAAACAAGTATTGTTTTGCTCTCCTCCCAGTTGTGATTGAGCCTACAGTTATGGCTCTGTTTTCCATGAATTTTGTACTGATGGAATGATCCGTAATTTTATAGCCTTTAAGTATTCTGTAAAAAGGAATTAAAAGCCTGTGGTAGTTACGATTTTATGAATTAAAAGTTGTAATTTGCTGAGTGTATATTCGTTTAATATACACACTCTAGCGAAATTGTTGACGGTGCTAAGAAGTGTTGCTGCAATACACACGCTCTGCCGTAGGCCGTGTGTTAACGGACTTCACTGGTTACGAAGTATGCGGTCGCCAGCGTGGGCGGCTGTCAAACTCCTATCCTGAATGTATCCCAGTATGAGTTTTTACTTAAATTTAATTATTTACTATTACCGTGATCTAATTCCGCTAACTCTGCTGCTTTAAGTTTTATTTGCGGAATTCGTGATTTGCTCCCAATCGTTCGCATTATCATGACTCCTCCGGCAAGCGAGAGGAAGAAAGCGGCCAAGCAGGCGCTGGAGAACCGTGTTACGGCATGGACGGAGATTGTGGCGCAAAAGATGGCTGAACGCACCGAAGCCCAACAACGTTTCGAGCGTGGCAGAATTGCCGTCAGGAGGCTGTCTAAGCTCCTCCAAAGACCCCGTGATGTGATCATTGGATGGATTTTTCGGAGGTGGATTTCGCGCTGTGATCCAGAGTACCTTCCGTTGTGAATGGAGTGTGTGTAGCGCGTTACTTTAAGCGTATGGATTTTTGCGCTTTACTCTTACCTTATGATTTGTACTTTACACGATTGATCTCATATTGTGGATCTTTTAGTTTTCCACTCTTTATCTTCGTTGGGCTAGTCCGAGCATTTTATCGTTTAGTTTTCTGCTTGGTTAAGTTGCGTACGGTCTGCACATTATGGATGTTCCGTTGTATTCTGTTGCGGGTTCTCTTAGTCATTTATTAGGAGAGTTGCGAATTTAATAAAGTTTAAGTAGCCGCTGTCGCTGCTGTTGTCGGTAATTTTTGGACAATGTAACGCATAACCGCACGAGACTCCACTTCCGTTGGGACATTGTATTGGTTTTCACGCAGTTGGTTGCTTGGGTGGGTAGGCTTCTGGCACACCTACCATTGACTAGCGTTGGTGTACGTTTTTGGCGCCGATATTTTCAAACATTTTGCGTAGAGCGACCTCGCTAGTATAGTAGAGGCTTCCGTTGCTTCGTCATTGGAGGTCGGAGGTTCCAGTCCACATAAAAACGCGATTTTGTAAATATCCTCATTTTTGGTTTTTATCTCATGAATCGTTATATTCTTATTCGTGGGATTTAATATGAGGAATATTGGCTGAATCGCTGTTGAGAGGTGTTAAAATGAATACTGCCAACTGTGTTATTAGCATTATTTTTGTCGATGACTCTTGTAGTCGAGTGGTCCAGTAAAGAGGACAATACCAGGCGAATCCGTTTACCTGTTGCTGGTCCTGGGTTCCAATCCCTAAAAATCAAAAAGCGTTTTCATAGAACCTTCTTTTTCGTGTCTAAATTCTTTCATTTGTGGGTACTTACACGTTCGGTGTGATACTGTTAATTTTTTATTAGTTTTCAACGAGCGGTGCTTAGTTGTACAGCCTTTACCGTGCGGATTTTGTTATTTTGCCGTGAGACTTCGTAGTGTAGTGGTTGTTCGCCTTGTCTCCGCTACGACTCGGTCAATTTAGGGCCTTGGGTTCAAAACCCTTACAAGTAATGCACATTTTCGTAAACCTTCTTTTTTTGGGCTTTATTTTTGTTATAATACTATCGAATATGCATTGCCGTTGACCGTTCTAATTTTACGTTCCTCTCCGATGAGCAATTTCAAAAATGACTGTCGTAGAACAGCGTAGTATAGTGCTTTGCACCGTTGAACTGCAGCAATGGGGAAATGAAACGGTTGCGGGTTCAAATCCCTTACAGCTAATTTGCAATTTTGAGAAACTTACCCTTTTTTTTCGTTTGATATTCTTGTTGTCGTCTTGGGAAAAGTATTGACAATAGTTTCCAGAATATCAGTACCAAACTCAAAGAGCTGGGAGTAAAATTGCATGCACACTCAATGGTTGACTTTGCACTTGGCCTTCTGTCCCTCTGTATTTGTGTGACTTTGTAGTTCAGTGGCTATGAATGATGGCCATTCGCCTCATGTTCTACCTCCTAAACGGCTAGTCTTAATCTCAGGGTTGCATGCTGCATGTTAAAAACTACATTTTTCCTACCCTATATTTTTGTACCTTTGTGGGATGAAGAGTTAGTCGTTTGGTGCCTTATTGCAGTAGGGTTAAATATACACGACATGGCGCTTCCGGTGTTAAATCTAACTCGGCTTTAACGTAGAGCACCTTGTAGCGTAGTGGCTAGACTGAGAATCCATACCGACCCGCTTCTCGCAAGTCTAGAGTTCGAATCCCTAAAGTTAATTCGATTAATTTAAAACCTTCTTTTTCGGTTTTATATTTTTATATCAATATGCAGTATTAGGTTGGCTTCGAGACCGCTAATTTTACGGTCACTCCCGACGAGCGAATTTTAAGTTTAACTTCGCAGATTGTAGTGGCGTAGTGCACTGAACTGTTGAACCACAACAACAGGTGCAATGAAGGTTGCGGGTTCGAAACCCCTAAAAATTAAATTGCATTTTCTGAAATCCTACTTTTTTGTGTCTATATTTTTATTGGCACTCTTGTAGAAATATTTCCGTTGCCGGCGCGAATTTTGCGATCATGATGGTGGTGAAATCTTAAACTTATCAGCTGCTTCAGTGGCGAATTTTTATTATATTGTGAACTTTCGTAGTACAGCGCCTCTAGTGATTGCCAAATTAAAAGAGAAACGTGGTATAGCCATGCTAGCGTATGGGCAAGAGCAGGATTTAGTTGTCCACCTGGATGCAAGGTTCAATCCTGCGTGAATACAAATTTTGCAAGTTTTAAAAGTTTCTTTCCATTCTTTTTACTTTTCTTTGGTGAGTTCTGTAACTTTATTCCCTGAATGGAATATTAAAATTGTGTTTAGCGTTTGATTCACGCTTACGGCTGCGATGTTTGATTTTGCTTTGCTAATTGGCCGTTCTACATCGGACTTGACTGCGACTGCGTATTCTCCCACACTGATTTTGTTCCGGTTATTTTAAGCTTTACATAAATTCAAAATTAATCTCAAATTAAGATCTATCCGACCAGCAAAATTGACGACTATATGAGAATCTGTACGAATGAGAATTATAAAATCAGAACAAGAGTGAGATTAAACGGAAGAAATAACAGTCGGCCAAATTTTAGAACAAATTATCAGACAGCTGCGGCAAAATTATCAGATATGTTACAACTGCTGTTTAATCCAGATCCAAATTCTCCTTCGCAGTTTTCAGGTTGGCAAGCCGCTGTTCCAAAGCCTCACGGATATACGCGATATGTTTAGCGTCCATGGTTGCTCGAGCCTTCAGCGTATTTACCAGCGCCTTGCAGTTATCCATAATATCCTTTTCGCGCTCAACCTGCTGCAGTAATTTATCGATGGCATCCGGTTCAGCAGCGCTCACTTCAGCGCCAGGTCGTTCAGCCTTCTCCTTCATCTTCTGGCCTTTCTTCTCGGTATCTGTATTTTTCGATCGGGGAACGTATTTAGGACGGCCGCCCGTAGCTTTCAGCTGAGTGAGCGTGATAATTGGTTCTCGCTCAATGCGTCCGTCTTTGCTAGCCCGGATTACCAGATTTACGTTGGTGGTATTATTCTTTGCCGGCTCGATTGCGTCCAGCCGCTCCATGACGCCATCGAAGACCAAATCCCCGTCTTGTCCCACGTAACCGAAGCTACAATCGGCAAAGTGTTGTTCCGTGTCTCTTCCGTTGACTGTCACCTTCATAGTGCCCATTTTGATATCTACAATTTAAATCACTTTGGTTAAATTACGCAAGCCAAGATGATTTGCAGTAGGCGGTGTTGTTGTGCTGTTATAAAGCGTAAATATCAAGAATGCCACTTCCAAAATACAGAAATACTTACTGATAGCTTGGGCTAGAGTGGTGCAGAGACAGCAGCCGCGAATGCTTCGTAGCCACAGGTCGATGCAACTATCCACGAAAAGATTTCCGTAGACGACGACGACATGTTTCTGGTTAACCAGTTGGCGCAGCCCGCGCTCCAGCCAGTAGTCTACGTCCTGCAGATGTACGTCGAATGTACAGATCCAGTGTTGGATTTCGGTGCGTGACATGGCATATCGGCCGTGGTAAAGGATCACGCGAATCATCCGACGAAACTTGCTAGTTGTGTCGATTACCTTCGTCTCGGGATCGCGGTTATTCTTGACTTCTTCGGCGACTTCTAGGACGAAGCGCCCGTCGCGGCTCATCTTCTTGAGCAAGATTCCAGCATTAATAGCGTCGCCGAGGAAGAAATCCACTCGTTCTTCCGTGAAATCATCGTGCATTTCCACAATGAACTTTTTGATAGATGACATGTCCACATAATACCCCGTAATGTCAGCCTCAAGAATGCACGCGTGGGCTGCCGTATGCATCGCCAGTTGTCGACGGCTTCGGATGGTTTCGTTTGGCTGTAGAGGCTCTGCCATGGCAAACTGAACTGATTCGCGAGTTCGTTCCTTCCAGTATTCATAGTGGGCAATCGCGTCCGCTTCGGGCAATGGCAGAGGCTCTCCAGCTGGCCCCACAGGCTGCGCGGACATGATGCTCGGATGATTAGAAATGATTAAAATAAAATTTAAAGAATCAAATACGCCAGTAAAATAAGAAACAGAAAAATTCCATCACCGCAATAAGATAAATATTGTTGGGTTCTTCGTTTTCTATGAATGAACAGCTGATATTTTCTGTGCTCGCGATGCGGCATTCTGTCACTTGCCAGCCGCCCCGATATGGCAATGCTATCGGAAACTGCACAGTTTCCGGTCTGTGTTCCGAATATTTCCCAGCCGCGTGTTTTGGCTCTAGCTTTCCTGTTTCGAGTTCCTCTGGTCACCATCGTAGGTGTCGTGTATTAAAAACTGGTTTTTGAGGTTGCACTTTGTAAAACTTCGGCGAAGCAATTGGTACTCTGTGTGATCTATGCCAAATGATGAAAGTGGGAAAAAATTCACAAAATCCTCTTGTCGCCTGTCAACCGCCTGGTGGTATACTCGGTGAATTTTGAGTTCTCGGCGTCGGTGCCAGTGTAGATTTTCTGTTGTGCTTTTCTCTGCACTTCAGTTTCTCAATTTTCTGAACCTGCTGGCATTTCCGTTATTCTTCTTTTCCCTTCTTTTTACGATTGATTTGTCACTTTTATGTTTTGAAAATGTCGCCTCCTGCTAAGAAGCCAACCGCGCGAAAGACTGCGTCACGTACACCGCGCCAGAGTCGTGCAACTGCGGGACTGAGTTTTGGTTATTCTCCGGACAGCGATGAAGCCCGTTCTTCATCGCGTGTCACTCGATCTCGAGTCTCTCGTCGTACCGCGGCCCAACCAGTGTTTGCTGCACAATCTCCTGGGCCATCTGGATCGGTGAGTGCAGTGGTGACGCAGCAGCCTTCAACGAGTTGGGCAGATGCAGTAGTGAATGCTTTACAGCGCCGATATGATAAGCAACGGCGACGCACAATTCTACGACGCAATGCTGCTGTGGTTCGCCGCCGTGCCCGTCGGGGATCATTCCCTACCAGTCCAGACGTTGAGATTCCTCAGCCGTCACCAAAGAAATTGCAAACACAGGCTGAAAGACAGTTGGGCACTCCTGATTTGTCTGAAGAGGAGCCATCATCTTCCGAAACTCCGTCTGTAAAAGCAAAGCGAGGTATTGCCGTGTTTGCCGTTGTTTTATTGTGATGTTGTGGTTTTTTCACAAGCCTGAATTCTACCTGTGGTGTTTTTCGCTTCTTGTGCAGTTGTTCCGCGTTACTACCCTCATGAGATACGACAATCGTTATCATGTCGCTTCATTTCTGTTTTATTGCTTCTTCCGCCAGTTTTGCAGTTGATCATTGTTGTTTCAACTGTGTTTAGACGAGGGAACATCTGCGCAAAGGCGGAATTCTTTATGTGCCGTATAACCCGGATGCACCGCGGCCGGTCTTCAAGACCAAGCAGACGGCTCGCAAACGAGCGCATTCCGGAGTCTTTCCAAGAATGGCTATTGCGGACAAGCAGGGTGAGATGGCAATTACAAAAGCCTATTTCTCCGGTTTAAATCGCTTTCATCCTCGCTTTCCGGAATTGTATTTGTCTCACTTCTTTTACCAAAACGGAGTATTAATCAATCGTTATGATTTGTGTGTGGCTACTCGGAAATTACCTTCGTTAATTGCGTTAGAGCTGCGTCGTCAATATCTCTATTTACATCCTGTTTTTGTTGGATTGTTTAAAGAAATCGCCAATCGTCAGCAGCATGATGCCGTAGCTCGCCAAGTGATTGTTGACGCTGCTGCTGTGGATAATGCTGAACCGCAGGCTTCAACTTCTGCTGCACGCCCGTATCATTTTCGCACTCGTGGGGAAAAGCGCAAGTACAAGGAGGTTTCACCGTCCTCGTCTTCGGCGCCAAGCGAAGTATCCGTCTCGGATGATGGGGAAGATCGTGAGGATCCTTCGGCCGTGCTGTCCCCTGATCAGAATGCTGATGTCGAAACCGACGAGAACGTTGATATGGAAGTTGATTGTGGTGGCGATGATGGATCCGATCTGGAGAAAATGGATGTTGATCCGCTGCCGTCCTTGCAGCCAGTTGCTCCAGCCGTGCCACCTGTTGCTGCTGTCGCTCGGGAAGATTCACCTGAATTTGCGGAACCAGTAGTCTATGGTAATCAGCAGCCACACTCTGATGAATTGTAAATTTGCCGTTCTCGCTTGTATTGCTTTAATCGCCCTTTTGCCATGATCTGACGATGTCTCCTTTCGTTTTAGTATTAAATTGCATTTAGTTTTTACCCTGCCGCTGCTGTCGTCGAAATTATACAACGTTGTTGAGGCTTTTGTCCGAATTTTTATTTTTCTCGTTTTACGCGCTTTGAGTCAATGAACTGGTCTTCATGTGCTGTATATGCACTGTGGCTATCACTGCCGAATCTTCCATTGTACCTGGATAGATCTGATCGGATGATTAAGTTGAATTAAAGGATATAGCGCGAAGCGCTGATTGGCTGTTTTTCTTACCTGTGTGGAATCTGCCGCACTTTAAAATTTCGCTCTAGCAGACAGGTATAAAATCACTTGCGCGTAGTGTGCAGAAATCGGCATTGTGGATTTTTCGTTTCGGCCTTCTGGCATGCTGGATTTTCACTGTGTGTAGCCTGTGATTTTGACGCTTTTTCTCTTTACACTTTTCGCGTTTAAGGTCACTAGTTTTCTTTAGTTTGGGCATGCCGCCTATTGATCCTAACCGAGCTTTTGACAAGTTAGTAGACGCCATTTTTCATTCGTCTTCTAACCAGCAGCAACAACAGTATAATGCCGGTTATAATCACCGAGGAAGGGGTGGAGCCCGTGGGGCTTACCGTGGCAACTTTCGTCCGTACGGCCGAGGAAATCATAAGAATTTTGGAGACAATAACTTGCGTCGTGGAAACGATCATTGGCGTCGTAATGGCCGACCTCTGGGCGCACCGGAAGTTATTGAAGTACCTGATGGAGACGCTCACCCAGTTGCTCCAGTGGAAGCTGCCGCCGCAAACATGGAAGTTGACGACCCGGGCAACCAAGCAGCGAATGCACCGAATCCGGTCCAAGGCAACGGAAATGTGGCTGCAGGTGAGCCCAATGGTGTCAACCCTGCTGTCAATTTACATGGCCCACCAGCCTTGAATGCCGTTGTCGTTCCTCCGGTTGTCATTCCACCTGTGCAGGCCCCGGCTAACGCCGAATTTCCCGGTTTGCCACCGAATGTGCTACCACTTGCTGAAGTGCCGATTGTCCGCGATGCCCGCGACCGTTCTCCGGCTGATCGCCCACGTGCGCCGTCTGCACCTTCCGGTCCTGTTGGTTCTGCCGAGCATAATTTTGTGCCTGGTTATTTGGCCCAGCAACAGCAGAGGGAACTGGATGCTGATCGTCGACGTCAGATGGCTGCAGAAGTTTCTCGCCGTTTGGACGCCGCTGCATCTGGCTCTGGTATTACCGGCCTCTTTTCATTGGCTCCCAGTGCTGGCAAGTAACCTTGACTCACCTCTGACATTGACCTTGGTTGCTTTCTTTGATCTCATATTGTTACTGGCTTTGTTGCACTGCCTTGACTTTTGATTTTGTTGCCTTTTACTGGTTTACATTATTGTATCAGTGCGCTAGTAGATTGCACTCACCATTTTGATACGCTTATTTGTAGCTTGTTTGTTGTTGTTGACATTTGTTGCTATACGATGTGATTTGTAGTACTCGAGAATTCGTAAGAATACTACTGGTTGGTTCAATTGGTGCTTTTCGCTCGTTTAATCCATAGTTCTTCAGAGTCACACATAATTACATTTTAAGATTTTAATTTCACAATCAATAAAGCTTTATGCCGTAACCCAAACACCATCTATCAAACGGCACAGTATCAGTAGTTCGTAGTTTGCCTTCCTGGATCCTTGGACCTCCGCCCTGCCAAACCCGTGGACTTCCGGATGCCTCTTCGCCAAGGATTCCACACTAACTCTCTGGGAATCGCGGCGTACAGTCACATTGGGCATCGGATGGACGCGTGGATTGTGCGGTGGATCGGGATCAGGATGGACGGAGTTGCACAATCGCACTGGGATGTTGCGGGATGGATTACTTAATTTGGCACGGCCAAGCATCGTTCGTGGGGGTGACGTATGGGAGTAGGATCATACGCCGGATGTACGTACTGGATGCTGACTGTCCGCCTTCCACCTGCAACATAACGGATAATCTAGTCAATCAATGCTGTGATTTGCTGTTCTCTTTTACTAGCGATGTATATGATGTCATAACGCGAAGTCTATATAAGTTCTTGTTACTTCTAATATCGGTATCAGTAGTCTGAGATTTACTTCTGAGACTGCTTCTAATTACGATTTCCTAGCGTTGTGAACTGTGATGTGAATTGGATAAAGAGACAGCAATACTTGTTCCTACGGAAGTGCATAGTCGTTCCCGGATTATCGCTTAGTATACAGGTTTGCTCGTGACACAATCGTCCTAGCTCTTGCCGATCCTCACAGGACTTACGACCGGAGATTGTAGTTGGACTATCATTTAGGGATTCCTGACTCGTGTTCCTGATTCGTTCGTCTTATTTCCACCATAGTTCTTCTGTTACAGTTTGAGAGTACGAGTGCCTACCGATTGAGCATTACAGGCGTGGAAGAGTAAAGATTGTTCATGGAGCCTTAAACGGCGTGAACGCTTATACACGACACTACTGTACATAACCGCACAACCGAGAAAAAAAATGATAAACCGGATCTTCGAAGACCTCAGTGGTGGTCACCTAGTGTCCACGACAGGGATACTGCTACTCTATCCAGTAAAGAAAAGCCACGTCTAGTGAGCAAATGAGAGAAACCGCTGTGATTAAGTAAACTATGTGTCCAGTAAACAGGTGTACTGTGATCGAGTAGCCACTAAGCATTGCATTTCCATTGTTTACATTTCCATCGTTTAAAAATACATTATGCTGTCGTCACATATCGACATATGTCAACTGTCCTAGTGTCCATGGAACCCATTATTCACCGGCAAGAGAAATTCGAGTTAGGGCTTCTCCTTGACAACCAACCAGGTGGACTGCACAATCCACTCATGAAGGTCTTTATGTGGCCGGACCCAGCACTGCACCGGGCCGCTTTCGTCCAGCCGGGCACTGGATGAAATCAGGTTAAAACCGAAGACTCGGTCCACCGCGATACCACCCGAGCCGCTGGAAAGGGTCCCCTTCCAGGACGCCGGCAGATACGATGTGTAGGGCTCTTCGCGTGGCATATTAATTAGCTGACCGTTGTGTCGCAACATGTAATGATGGAGCAGATTGTCCATGACATCCGGCGCCAGGGGCAGTCGCACCGGGCAGCTGATCATGTATCTGTCCCCAACGGTCACCCGGTAATGCGACGCCAAGGGGGCTGCAAAGACCTCGGTGGCCCGCGTGACGTATGGGATCAGTGTGAAGCGGTTCAGCGCAATTTTCCCCGTTGCCTCTGGCAGGAAGCAGACGACCTCGCCGCTGGACTGCAGGGACACGTTGAGAATGCGCAGCACCGCGATGCTGTCATCCAACGGCAAAATGTTATAGCGATGATTAGACACGGGGGGCACCGTTCCCGGTTGGCCTTGCTCGAACACGGTGCGGCCTTGGTGGGTCCAGCTGATGCCGGTGGATTGTGCGCCAAATGGCACTTGGCAGCTGAACGACACATTCTGTCCCAGACGCGGCCGCATGACTCTGCTAGTGACCGCCGATGGTGGCGCCGTCGTCGCTGCCCGGGGAAACTGCAGTGTCACCTTGTCATCTTCCTTATAGCGCAGCGCACGTTCAATTATGTCGTCAACTAAGAAACATACGAAAACATCCTATCATTCAACACAAGGATATGTACGAAGTTACGAACGTAAATACGTACTAATATATTTCAGTGGAAAAAGTTTTCAACTATTTAGTAGTGAGACCACACAGGCGCTTTTTTAATATCCATTTGGCTGTTACCTAACGAAGTTAGAACGCTTCCAAACCTTTGTTACACATTAGTTTGAACAACTGTCAGCTTACTAATTTATTATGAGTTAAAAAACAAATTTCTAATCTTGCGAGAAATCTGAATTACAGTGATTGGTCTGTGACTGGTCAGTTACAGTGTTACAGGGATATAATAGATTGGTCAATAAAGCAAACGAAACGCGTCAAAATAAAAAGATGCTTCCTAATTGTTTGTATAAATATGTATTGCGACGCCAAAAAATAAAAACCTCGTGAAATAAAACCCGAAAAATAAAAACGTTCGTGAAACCATCAGATTTATTTATTTATTCTAATTATCAAGGACCGTTATAAGTGCGGTGCGAACGCCGCGCACCGGAGCTCTGACTAATTCGCACGAAAGAAAGCCTGGGTCTCTAGCGGACTTGTTTTCTAGCTATATATTTACGTGATGGGTCAGAGTGAAGATCCCCGTTCGTCTGCACTGTACACGCGTTGCTCTGAGCATCCCGTTCCCATTGACACAAGCCGCTGAATACCAGTCCGTAAATGGCCAACAAGCGCATAAGTTTCATAAAAGCGTGAAGATTTGGTAGTAGTGACCGTCGGCTTAACCGGGAGAATTAATGGCATTTTCTGTGGATAACAATATCTAAACACCGGCATCAGCCTGCCGACTACTGGTCCCGCGCTTCAGATGGCCATCCTAATGAATGATACGACCACTGGTATGCTTCGAAAATAAATAATAAATAATAACGATTATGTAATATTATGGTCTCTTACTTTGTCTTTATGCCCGCTATAACCAGCACTGAATCGATTGTGCGTGGCCAAACGGCGATAGTATAATGTATTTTCACATTTTCATGACTAATTTAGAATAAGATGCATATTAGTTATACGGTACGACAGCCTTATGCTGTAGATTAGTGTTGCGATATTCGGGATTTCCCGTGTCACGTGAATATGGGTAACTAAAATTGTTACTTATGGAAGCGGTTCCGCCCAGATCTTGACGGTGCTCTTTTTCTAGGTTGCTAAGCATTTGTTTAATATAAAATACTTCTAATACTTACTTATAGTAGGAAACCACATACATACGCATACCTTTTAACACAAATTCAAACCGAGTATACTTACTACTTACATAATTCTGACTTTCCAAAAAACGCAGAGCTGAGTGGACGGTCGGATCCGCGAGCGTTATTATACGTTATTAAGAAATGGCCCGTTATAATATCTGTACATGATACCAGATTCAATATGCGTACAAACGCTCAATGAAAACTTTTGCATTCCTGGACTCCCAACACATTCTTGGGTACTTCTGTTATAATTGTTTACGTCAGTCTGCAGCAAAATAATTTGTACACGATACATTGCGCCTTGCGGCTGTAAAAGATACCTCAATAATAAACGAAGATTATGCCAAATCAGGTCCCGTTCCTCAAATATGTAGACATATGCTAAGAATGTTTTGAAGCTGTTTGGTTCAGTTTCATTTTTATAGATACATATCTGCTTTGTAATACGATTAATCGTATGTAATCTTAATCTTATTTCACTGGATATGTAAAGTTATCGTAAATGGGACAGGGCACCCTGTACCGCGCTATTTCACATTTCGTGCACGAATAAAATTGTGAAAAATCAATTGCAAACTTTCTGGCAGCGGAGAGAAAGGCTTTATGCTTTCAAAAGGTCGCAATGTTTGGCAACAGAAAAAAAGCAACCACAGCTAAACATTAATATATGCATACCGGAAGTAGGTTTTTACTGCACTGGCAGTCGTGCGAATATCAACATATCGCGGGCTGATCGATACATCAGCTGAAGCATCGGACACCAAGAACTTCACTTTCAACTTGATCAATCGTATCTGATAAACCTGAAAATTCCAAAACAAAATCGATCAAAAGTATGGCAAAAGCAGTTTTGCAACAGACCAATTTAATTTTATGTAATAAATTTTATTTCTCTATTTTTATTTGGGTAACAAATTGTCTCATAGTTGAATTTTTAAACATACCTTTACTTTTCCTTTTTGGTTTTGAATGATGCTTGAAAGGTCATGTCACAGAGAAACCAAATTTCTAAAAAATATAATCATGGTTTGTTTTGCTGGTGCGAAGCAAATTTCAGCGTTACTTTATGTACGAGCAACTTCAAACGATGCAATCCTGCTTGCAAATAAAACAAACGTTAATACTCGTATTTCAAGGAAAAAGCGAAAAACATCGCAGGAATAAAAATAAAAACGGAATTAAGCTATCCAAAGTCTCTTTAAATTTACGCGAAAAAAATTAGAATTCGATTTCTTCGGCAAGCCTTTACGTTTCTGTTTTGATCGCCTCACTGATGACCGGCGTTCATTGACGACATCAAAGCAGAAACGTTTCTCAGTTGATTCATCGGGACGTCTATAAAGAAGTAATGGAATCTTGATGTTTAGACACACAGACGGATATTCCGCTTCTCCTGGTATTTCGGCATTTTTTTACCTTGAGCACTAGCACGACTAGCGTTAAGATTTCTTGTGGACTCTGCAAAGGCACATGGTCATGTAACGTAGTGGCTCAAAGTTAAGGAGCACGTGAGTATCGTCGCTTTGCCATTGTTGTGTGGATGGGAATACGGCACCAACAGCAACTTCCACGATCTGTATCGTACTCCCAATAGTGCTTAAAAAACTATTGTCAGTATGACACGGAATCGAAGAAGATTCACCCATATCGTCCCAAACGCTTCTATATATCCAACCAAAGGGTACGCAATAAATCTTAAAAAAGGGAGGAAATTTCAAATAACTATCCGGAAATTTATCCAGAAGAACACTTAATTTTTATATCAAACTCCTGGCCGAGGCAATAACTTCAGTCAATAGCAGGCGGTATTAATCAGAAATAACAAATACAAACGCGCAAATAAAAATGCCAATACTTACAATCCTCGTATTGATAACAAATATGTCAATATGAATTTGTCAGTCAGCTTTTATATGATGATCATTGCATTCGTTGCATAAGTACACAGGAAAAAAATAAATTAAAGTACCGTAATTGGGATAAATGCTCAAAATTGTTACTGGAATATTGAGAAAAAATGTTTATGTTTGCCATAAAAACCTGATTGATGACAATTATATTATGGCGTTGTATAATCGTACGTACCTTTTTCCGTAAGATTAACAAATCCTTCCGCTCGGTTAGCCGCTCTTGGAAGAATTAGCGTTAGCGTTAGAGTTAGCGTTCTCATTCGGTGCAGCATCATGGCCGAAGCCAGCAATGGGGGAATGCTGTGTGCCTTGGGCCCGGAATATCCTTTGCCCCCCGCGCGGGTGGCGCGCGGGTGGCAAAGGGTACTCCGGGCCCAAGATATACAAAAGTATTCCTCGTACGAGTTTCCGGAAAGCAGCAGGTTCCCCTTTAAGAAGAAAGCGCTACTGCACATAATACACCAACAAGATCAAAAGAATAGCTGACGCGAAGGTAATAATAGCTATGGATAAGCGCCGCTGACCAAAAGGTCACGCTGCAGTTACACAAGCGCGGCAAATCTTCCAGTATTTATCCCAGCTTTATGGGTGTAGTTGAGATGCTCCGCCATTTTACCGCAAACGATGTGGCAGGAAAATGAACTGTAAAGCGGCCGCGCTGGATATGATTGCCCGGGACTCTTGGCTGCCAGACCCGCCACCAGCAGAAACTGGGCCCGTTAACGTTGATCTCTATTGGCGAGTCAATTTTCCGCCAGGGGATCACTATCCTTTTTTCCTTCCGCTTCATGATCATTAAAGGGGATATTTAAGCGTACAATGCTGAATTGTACGCTTAAATTTCTCCCGTTAATGAAGCGGACTCCAGCCAGTCTCCGTTTTCTAAACATCCGCCAGTCTCCGCTTTCTGAACGCCAGCATCACGCTTAATACATGTGATAAAACCCTAACATACGCTGCGCAGACGCACGCTAAGGAAAACGAATAATCGTTTATTAAACTGGATGACAGCTGTTACTTTCTTACAGCCCCGCGACTCTATATATACTAAACCGCAGCATAGTCTACATAGAACAAGAGAACAACAGGAATATTCCGAATGGACATTGGCTACAATAACAAGATGCGATCGGCTAAAGACAGGCAAAAGTGCAACAAAATAGAGTAATCAATCACTCGCAGTGACACTATCATGCACAGCACAGAGCAACGTCTTTTACATAAACAAGCCACAATACACAGGCAATAATCCACTAATCGCACACCCGTAAATGGTCCATTCACACAGGCACCGCACATGTCCGATCCACCCGCTGGTCCAAAGTACAGTCCAGGATGCTGGCATCGTAACACATGTACAGTACATGAAAGCAAGAAATTAATCACCCGGCTTGTACGAGTAAGTACTGTACTCTGTACATATTATGTTACCGCTCATGAGTAGCCTCATTGACAACTCGTACAGTAGCCTTATGGCGCTTAGTCTTACAGGGCCGAGGATGCATTAGGTTATAGGAGACAGTTACTAATATTTTCTTTTATAACCGCGGCCGGCATCCACATACCGGCTTCCAGTATCGACTGCTCCAACAGGCGGTTTTGATTTTTGCCACGATATCTGCAATATTTCCAGTAACTGGCCTCCAGCAACATGTCACGCAGTGGTATGGAGGACGCCGGCTGTTCTGGTTAACCTTGCAGTTTAACATAAGTGATGTTTGCCTGCCAGTGTGTGAATGAATTCTGAATAATACGTAGTATGTAGTCGTACTGTGTTGCAGTTTCGCCTACTTATCTCAAATATCTAAAAATTGTAAAAGTATTTCAAAGAAGGTGCTTGATTAATCGACCGGAGCGCAGGAAAGGTCTTCTGATTCAGTAAAAGGGAAAAAGTGTCTGCCTATCCCGAAAGATGCGCGTGTGATGACGTCATTATGGAACTGTCCTCTGTGGCGTCACCCACCCCTTTGCTCCAGAAAAACACCCCCCTTTATTTTAATTTCCCTGCTATCCCACACCATGACATAAAAGGCAACGGTTTAGGATCCTGGAATCGCTTACGATGCGTTATTGTTAGGTTTCAAAGTTTGAACTACGATTAAAGTTTGAATAAAATTAAAGTTAAAAAAAAAGTTTGATTAAACTTTGAACTACAATTAAGAAATACAGCGGGCAGATAAATTCAGATAATGAAGTTTTGACCGTATTTAATCTAACTTGTAAGCTACGCTCCGGTCTACCAATCACCAATGCACGCTCATACATTAAATATGTACTACACGTTGAGGAAAAATGCTCAGGTTATTATCTAACAACTAACATTTAAGTAATTGATTAATACATTAACACTTAATTCCTTCTTAACCGACATATTCATTATAAGCACCGTTATAAAAATAATTCCGCATTGCTTTCTACGCAAAATCAGAGGGAAATTTGACCAATGTTAACTTCGCGTGTATGTGGCACTGCACTACGATTGCTGTTAACCCTCGAATTCTCGATGCCGTAGCTGTCTTTAAATTTCTACTCAAATCGGTTGATCTGTCCCAAATTTTTACATTAACACAAATTTGTGATTTTGCATCTCGATCCCAGTTTGAGCGTTACAAAACAATAACCTTTCCACATTACGGTTAAGTCTCTTATCTTTTTCAACCAAAATACTCGTTCAACCAGCGAGAAACTGCAAAACACTCCAATTGAGCGGCGGAACAGAGGAAACCGTTCCATCCATCGTTACGAATTATTAGTCAACAAAAATTTCATTTGCTATACCGAATCGCCGGTCTAGTAAACCCACGCTTGCCACTGAAGATCATGGAACCAAAAATATACAAAAAACAAAGCAACAGCGTAATGACTGCGCAGTCTTTGGGGCACTGTAGCGTCATGCGAGCGGCGGTCAGGCCTCGTCGTCCGGGTCGTCGCCGCTGGAGAACTGGCTGTCGCCGTCATCCGCCGACACCTCCACGGCCGAGTCCACCTCCTCCTCGTCGTCCTCTTCCTCATTCACGTCCTCCTCTCCGTCGTCGTTGTCATCGTACTCGTCTTCGCCTTCCTCATCGTCGCCTTCCTCCTCCTCCATCTAAACAGCCATCAACTGAACGCTATCAATCGTATTGATACAATGATGACGCTAGTCATCTCATTCGTTCGCAATGCAAGTCGATTCGTGTAGGAAACAAAATTCTGCCCTACAACATACATTCTACTTATCAAACCGCGTAACAACTGTCACATGGCGGAGATTTTTAACACACTCAAATACCAGAATTCACAGCATGTCATATCAAAAACTATGGCAAAATTGAAAAGATTAATAGCATACTAATATCCACAAACGAGCGTGTAAGGAGAACGTAAGAAAAACGTAGTACAACGGCATAATGTGGCGGGTTGAAAATAGAAAAAGACGTTGATACTGCTACATTTTCTTCGTAAAATAACCATATCGAAAATGGAAAAACAATTTTTTACAATATTCAAGTCATCAATTAAGTAATTAAGCAAATATTATATAAGCAAAGTAGATGATTCCTATTATTTTTACACAAAAATCAAACGATATTAAAAATCATAAATTATTATTATTATCAAATTTTTTTACAAATTAATAATAAAACGCCAGAAAAAGCCTACAGAAGTAATCCTCTACCGCAATGACGCCTTGCTTTAAATGAAAACATTCCCCGGCACCTCACCTCGTCCTCGTCGCCTTCTTCCTCCTCATCCTCTCCCTCCTCTCCGTAATCCTCCCCACTCTCCCCGTCCCCGTTCTCCTCCACCTCCAACCGGAAGCGTCCGCGCGCCAACTGCGGCGCATCCACGCTGTCCTTCGCCAGGAACCCCTCGCAGATAATCTCATCATCATCCTCATCATCATCCTTCTCCACGCCGAACGCATCGCCCTCATCCACCCACTCATCGCCCTCCGCGTCCAGATCATCGGACACCCATTCCTGCGGCGGCATCTCCACTACCCCGGGACCGGGATTGTGCAGCACCTCCCAGGCGGATCGATACGCCGGGCCGAAACCGGAATGCGCCGCGGACGGCCCGCGACGATTATCCCCGAAAGAAGGGAGTGTGACGGTCGGCCCGCTCTCGTCGATGATGACGCTGTCGTCCAGCTCGATGGTCTCCGTCTCAACAACCGGTTTGGCGTTGGATTTCACGACTTCCGGCGCTTTCGCAATTTTCGGCGATTTTTCTCGAATTTCCGGCAGTTTCTCCACGGATTGCGGAGTACTTGCTGATTTGGCAGCAGTTTCCGGTTGTTTTACACTCTGTGATGTCTTCGGGGATTTTTCTATAATTTCTGGGAGTTTCGGCGATTTCTCCAACGTCTGTGGCGGTTTTTCCGTGGTTCCCGCCCACAGAAACTGCGAGGGATCGATTCCCTCGGGATTGAAAGCGTTGACATTGGTCTTAAAAGGATTTTTGATTTCTTCGGAAGGTTTCGGTTTTTGAGGACTTTCTCGTGCAACGGGAGCGGTTTCCGTTTTCGGTGGCGTTGCTGTGGCGTGGGGGTTATCCCGAGGTGGTTGACGAGCCGCATTCAATGGACTGTTATTCACGGTAGCTGGTTTATCCAGCGGTGGCTGCTTGTCGTTGCGCGTCGACAGATCCACGGCATTCGAGATCATTTCGGGCTTCTCAATGGGTTTGGCCACAAATTCCTGTGGTTGTTGAGCCGTTTCTTTGGGAATTTCTGCAAACGTGAAGGCAAATTAAATAGTACATATCCAAGATCGAAAATATTTCTTCCTCTTAAAATTAAACAAAAATTGAAACTGAGATTAAAACTGATGAAGATAAAAACAAATTAAGATTAAATAAATTAAGTGAAAAATTTCGCAACAAACACCTGCTGCCATGCTGCTGGGCTTAAGATGCAAGCCGATTTTCTCATAAAACTTTCGACAACACTGATATCATATAAGAACAACTATAAACATTCGCAATGATTGAATTTACCATTGAACGCCGCTTCATTACGTTACCGTACGCACATCTAACAAGTGCAACTTGTAAGCTGATCAAACAACCCACCTCAACAAGCACAGTGTACGTGTGGAAATATTGTAGTACAGTGGCACACCAATAACGTGGTGGAGCAAAATGGCCGATTATGGCGCGGAATGTCAAAAATATACAGTAGCAGTTCATAGCACTGATTTCTGAATATCACTGTTAAAAATTCTTTTTATTTATAAAGCACTATTAAATTACGCTTCATTTTAAGCCCAACAGTATGCTGCTACTTTCTACCTCGCGGACAACTGCTAGCGAATAAGAAAATTTAAATCAGGAGATAATCACAATTAAAAAAAACCAACCGGGTTGAATTTCTTCCTTGGTCGTATAACTCGTATTGTCCACCACAGACGAGTTTCCGTTGTCAGGAGCGATCGGCTGAGCCTTGGCGAAAAAGAAGGCGGGCGACAACGGTGGCAGCGGGATCAGTTTGGCGGGCGGCGGGCGATTCGGCGTCTTCTTCACCCGCGGCGACGCGGTGGAGTACGGAGAGCAGCGCGCGGTGTGCAGCAGGCGCTCCTTGGCGGCGGCGATGGCGCTGCGCTGGGTGGCGTCACGCCACGGATACTGGAAGGGATTGGGACGCGGGGAAGGCAGCACCAGCGAACCACGGCCCGCAAAGGAAGACGACGCGGAATGCGCGCCCAGAAATGAGGACGACGCCGTCACACTGGGCAGACACGGGCCCGGGCGCGACGGGAAGGCGGATGAAGTCGTCAAGCGCTTGGAAGCTAAAGCACCTAAACTTACAAAAAAATTACAATAAAAATCAATATTTATACATGAATACTCCAAAGAATTAAACAAAATCCTTGCAAAAGCCGCTCTAATTATGGAAAATTCTTCCAGAATCCAGACGACGAAATTCCATTATTTGTAAAAAACAATCTTAATTATTTATTAATAAAAGTAGCATAAAAACAACAATAAATATAACAAAATATTTATACCGGAATTAGAGGAAAAAATTAAGTAAATTCGATGCATAAAGACAAAAAACCGATCTAATTTTGCCTATTGTTCTAGACAACGAAATGGAAGTATTTACGAAAAATTAACACTAAACAATCAAGACAAATTACGTAAAATGATAAAAAACAAAAAGACGTACTTCGACTTAAAATAATCAGCTACTGTTCCTGAATTCAACACGACAAGCAATTTAAATTATTTAATCACTGAAACAGTCTAAAAGCGATGTATTCTCACACAGAAAACTCCAAAAAACTTGATAGATATTGTGAAAACGATGGCTATAATTCCAAATAATTATAATGAATATTGCACAACCAATACTAGGGATTATAAATGTATCCTGAAGATAAGAAATTATTAAAAACAGAATTTTCAACACAGAAGACTCACCGTTATCGGAAGAAAGTGTGGTTTCCAGTTTGCGCTTCTTATTCTGCAGCAGATCGATGGTGCGATCGATTTCCTCGAGTAATGCGGACGGATTACCACCGGAATCCCCCCGGGAAGCCAACTGCAGATCGGAATTGCTGCCAGCGTTGCTAATCTGGTACCTGGTCTGGGTTCCCAGGAAAGTTCGCTGCAAACGCAACACCAGTTACACAACGGATAACTTCTGCACCACGATACGAAAAACCTGTTAGAATGGCCCTAAACCATGAAAGGCAATGCTTTCTTTGAATATAAATGTCGGACAGACTAAGGTAGTAACGAGAATCATGCAAGGAACTGGTTAGAGTAGAGACACTATAATTCGCATTACGTGTTGAGTGTGCTGATCGTTGGGTTCGCGGACGACACCCGTCACGCTGTCAACCACGGATCCGCCGAATTCCTTCAGCTTCTTGACGGTGAATTTAGCTAGCGAACCCCACCAGCTATCATTCTGCAAAGAACAGCCGTGTGAGAAAGCAACGCGAGGTAAACGGCGCGCAGGTGCGTTTACATTGGCGGGAACCGTTGCGACGCTGTGCGTTGCGCTGGGATACGTGTTGCGACGCGAATAGTCGTAGTACGAGTTGAATTCTTCCATGGTCACGCTACTCGGATAGGCACGTCAGAGAATAATTCTTATGCAGGATGGAATTTGGTGGATAACATCGTAACAATAGAGTGTGGAACTCATGAAACAACAAGAAAAATATCCAACGAAAAACTGGAAGATGAAAAATACTCGTAAATCATAGTGATTGAGATTTGCATTGTGATTGAGTCGGTGGCGGGGTGAGCCGAAGCTGTTAATTAAGCAGTTCAGCTCACTACGCCACTAATGCAACTCATCATGTAGAATACCCTGTATTTCGATATAAAGGCCAAACGTTATTAGACTACAGGGAAATGGCAAGCTTGAGTTATATTGGGCATTATTTCACTCGTTTCCGCTCCCAACTTCAGCGATGAACCTTTGTATTTCAGGCTTTAATTTTCAGCATGTCTACGCTCGAAAAAAACTCAAAATAAAATTGCAGAAAAGTTGCGATAAGCACGTCCACACACCTATGATCCTATCTGTAGTTTCGTAATCATAATTCCATAACTTCCTTAAGAGCAAATCCGGTCCGGTACAATCTAACTTAGCTGTACAGTGTACACACCTTGAAAAAACTTATAACTCTTTTATTATTTTATAATAGTTTATAGTTTCATCACGGTAATCAGGTAACCCATAAAACTGCTATATTTTACAGAAATGCATGGGAATTTAAACCTGGCTGAACACAACACACGCTCATAATAGTATCAGAAAAGAGGTTAAGAAAGCCAGTTTGGCGTAGCGGGGTCACTACGAGTACTCTATGTTTAGTATTTCTACACTTTGAAAACAGCTTTAATATTTAGAAATATTTTTAAAGGTACATTTGTGGGAAAAGAAAAATTAGTGGAATAGGTCCGCAAAGTTCCGGAAAAGTATTTCGCTGTTTACTTATACAGATAATTGAAACTTGAGATTCATAAAGACATGACAACACAAGTTTTAGTCAAGGTTGGTCTTAAAAAATTCCATATTTTCCATAGGTTTGCCAATACATTTTAGTTTTTTTAGTGACCTATGGTCAGAAAATAATTTCATCGGGTCTTCGTATAGGAAATGTAGAGCACTGGAATAAAGCCCAGTATTCCATACTGCCTGTAACCACGGAAAAATTAAAACCAAAATAAAACCAATATTATCCACTATCCAGCACTTAAGTGCGAGCGCGGATGCTCGAGCCGCAAGGCTACCTTTTACTAATTAATACAATAATTATTATTAAAAATCATTATTACAAGGTAGCCTCCCGCCTTCGGCGGTCGGCACGTTTACTCGTACATATATTGAACTTCTGAAGGCATTTTTTTGGAAAATAGTAAACATGCGTTGGCTTTTGTTGTTGTTTTGCTTTTCAGTACATTGGCTTTTGTTTCACATTCTGTGGAAAAATACTTCGGCAAAAGTTCGCGCACAATCGTCCAGTCCCCCGAGGTTAATAACATCATAATTCTTATAATTATGTGCAATTAGAGCACAAAGCGTTCGGTCTCACTCATACTAATCTTGACTCGCGCACTCCTGCGCATGTGCTGACTTGTTATAAACCGTACAGTCGCCATGCGGTTTCTCTCCGCACTGAAGTTGGATGTCATCAGTCTATTTGTAGTCGGTATCAAAGCGCTGCACTGATCAACCGAACGCAAGGGTCAAAAAGGCTGTTCGCTTTCCAGTAGCATGTACTGTGTACTTTTTGGTTACATAGTGCGGACTGCGGAGCGTATACCATTTTCGGATTTTCCTTTCACCCGCTCCAGAATTATTTGCGTTAGCTAGGCAAAAACTCGCAGCCCCCAATCAATATTTTTAGAAAATTCAAGTGTTAGCTATTTTCGATCTAAAAATAATTAATCATTTCGGCAGTCATACCCTTCTCACGTGCACAATATCATACGAAAAACGTTAATTTTCCTGTGAAGCCAAGTACAGGTACGTGAAATTGCAATACTTACGATTAAATTATTATAGCTGCAAGCAGTACAGTGTACACTGTATTCAGTATAATTACTATAATATAATGAAAGTTTATGAGTTTTCAAAAGTTTATGAGATTGACAGTGCCAGTAAGAAATACAAACGAAAAATTTTTATGAGCACATTAATGGCTAAAAACGTTATTTCAAATTGCGCAGGGCTCTTATCATAATATTCCTATCTACTGTATACAAATTAATGTTAAATTCAGATCGCAGATTACAAGTTTTGAATTACTAGCGTAAATAACTATTGTTTCTGTCTGTACTTCTGCACACAAATTCGAACCCTTGATGATTGAAACTGGAACTTTCTCGCCAGCACAATTAAATCGCGCGGACTAAAGTGGTGGCAGATAAGTTTTAATTCAGAATTTAAGTTTTAATTCAGAAGTCAGAGAGCGGGAATGGCGAAATAGCCTATCTACTATCTAGCACATGTACAGATAAAAAACTTGTAATACTTTGTATAAACACAAACAAATATACATATATATATTCGCTTTTAATGCTGTCCTGCGTGAATATTAAGTTTTACTTGAAAATTAATTATCGTTTGGTTGCGAATCCCGCCAGACCTCGAAATCTCCGATTTGTAACACAAAAAATAATGCGCCTTGTATGCAAGGTGGAAGTGGAGTGCCAGTGCACAAACTTGAGTGGCCACCACGATGCACGCCAGCCGTTATTGGGCGTGCGCCGTGGTGGCCGCTGAAGTATTACATAATTATTACATAATTAACTACATAACTAGTACATAATTAACCAGATAACCTGGGTAACCATCCTTTTATGCATTGAACGCCTCAATGTAACGAGAATGTTTGATTTTCCTGTAAGTGACTGAACGACGTCGATTGCGTCGAACATACGTACACTCTGTTTGCATACTGTATATTGTGCCGAATTTTTTATTTTAAAAATTCAACGGGTACAAGACAGATCAAGAACAGTTGATCACAACAACAAAATCTCATGTAACGCTGCCGCTCCATCTACTGTTCCGAGAGGCGAGAACGGAAGCGGCGTTGCCGCGATAGATTTCTAGCGACAGACACTGATGGGTGGATCTAGATTCAACTACAGCATATGCAGCCGAAGTCGCTTGCCGGTTTTTTTTTCACGATGAGCGTAGGCTGCGTAGCTGACTTTCCCCATGGCCCATGGTGTTCGAAAGCTTACCCTAGGGGTGCGAAGACGTACCTTTCCTCGAAATACGAGTAGAATCGCACTTTCTTATCCTCGGCCGGGGCGGCAGCGGCTCCCGCCATAAATGGCATAGATTTTTGGTGAGACTAAACAACAGTATCCACCCACGTAATGTCCCATGCCATTGCCAAGCACAACCGTGCTTCCGGCAAAAGTCATGCACCCATCTCGGACGATGATCTGACGTGCGGGAGGTTCCCCGGGGCTCCAACTTCGCAGGGATGCTGGCCGATATTAACGATCTGCACACAAACTACTACTAACTTAACCTGTCAGACGTAGTTTTTACCTATATTAATTACCATCCAAATTTTAATGCCGTCATTTACAAAAAGGGTTTTAATGGTGCTTCAGCTTAACTAAGGATTATAAAAATTGTGTTAGACTGCTAATAAGTACTTACTATTAGATTTTTTAATTATTTCCAGTTCTTAAATTTTTTATCTTCACTTACGTAAGTAAGTGAAGATAAAGATTGTGAAGATAAAGATAAGTGAAGATTCGAAAAGGTATACCTTTTTGAACCTTCTAGGATATTTTTATCTGTTTGGGCCTAAGCGTCTCAAATTTTTGGATGTCAATAAATTTTAAACTGACCCTCATGATTTTTATTCTGAACCCCCCAGCTGAAATAAAACCAATAGTTACCAACGCTCTGCATTGTGAAATGCCACACAAATTAGGTTCACCACGTTGCTGCCACTTGACAGTTGACAGCATTATAGTTAGGGACACGTTAAACAGGCCGTCATCCGCAACCTCCGCCATTTTAAACCAGCCATTGCTATCTCTACTTATCAATTACTAACTAGTAACTACTATAGTGAATTTGAAACTTAACTGTGATTGGTGGTGATCATGCTTGGCGGGCTTTCTGTAGGTTTTAGCAGGCAGTGGATGCCGAGGCCGAACCGATGCCTCCATTCCGGCCGTTTCGCCGGCTGCTGTCTGGCTTCAATCAGATGAGTTATCAGAACACGGTTGCAGTGAGTGACAAAGGTGACATGTTGCTAGGATTTATTCAGGACATCAATGGGGACCAAGTGTTTGTCAATTTCGATTCGAGCAAGGTCAAAGCCAGGTGGGTGGATGCAGCGTGTGTTTATTCGATGCCATGGTATGATCATCAAGAGAATCACCAGCGCGACAAACCTGTTTACGCGGCACTCCGCGACGAAGACGACGGTCCATTCCGGTTCCAGTCGGTTTTTATAATATTTTCTGTTGCGGCATGTAAGCGGTGCTATATGTGTTACGTCAAGGCAAATGTCCAAGGCGGAGATCCAGCTAAAGCTCGAATAGAACTGATTGATCATCGCCAGATCCTCGGCTTGGAATGGTTCACTGAGCCGGCGTTTCTGTACCGGAACAGCGCACTGGGTTATACCAAATATTGTGCTTCCTTTACCACAGCTAATCAGCTGCTTGGCCAACCGGCAGATAGGTCGCGCGTAATTAAGCACTTTCGTGAAGTGTTCGAGGAAGATGCAGCGCTGTCCACCCTGACGGACTGCTGCCGTTTTCATTTACGCATCGAAGCGAACAATTGCGTGTTTGTGGTTATCGGCGTCGGAACGAGTGCGGATGCGCAGCAGATGACCATGTCAAAGCTGTGTATAGTGGTGGAAAGGCATCTGGCGACTCGGGGAAAATGGCTGCCGACTTGTTCTGAGAGTGACCCAACCGATATCAGCGCAGCAAGTAGGCGGTAATTAGCTGTGACTTGATAGGTACCTCTACCACGCCTGTCGTAAACGGGGCTGAAAGAAGCGCCTGTAAAATAATTATCGTCATGTTTTAGAATCCCTGTTAATTCATTTTAGTATCGTATAAGTGTAATCGTCTTCGCAACTAGGTGTATCTGATACTCGTATTCATGATAAATTGTAGTGAACCGAATCGAGTCTTCGGGTTTAAAATCAGCAGAAGCAATGTTGTTTTGTCATCTGCCTCATTGGATATTCAGCGAAATCTGTTCTTACCTGGATCTGCATTCCCAGATGAAGCTCACGCGGTACGTTCTCACGCTAGAAGGAGACAACTGTGCAAACAGAAACAGTCATTGTTAATCTGCCCGAGAGTGATCCTTGTGAGTTGTGACCTTTGTTTTTGCGCATGTACTAATTCAACTAGTGTAACGTAATCGTAAATTAAAGAAAATTTTTTCTTTAATTAAGTCTGATCCGTCCCTTTTTTGCTTACAAATCAGGAGCTGTCCGTTCGTCTACAGTTCAGTTTGAGGTTTGTCAAATGAATAACTTCACCTACGTTGACATATCATTCTGTTTTGAACAGAGTGTGCGCATTATGGCAGCAGCTGTTAAGCAGTCCTGGCACAACGAAGCACATCCGCGTACGTTTGGACAGCATGACTAGAGAAACTACGTCCGACAACTACAACTGCTTCACCGTGGCAGCGCTGCTGACTCGCACAATCAACCCAGCGACCAAAAGCTTGACGATAATAACAAGATCTCTCGGCAACTGTTGCACGCTATTTCTCCCTTTTTTACTGGGAGCCATGAAAGCCGTACAAGTTCATCTGCCCTTGATCGTATTGAAGGACTTTGTCAGGAACAGCCGCGGAACGTGCACCTCCGAGGATAAATTTCACTTGACACATTGTTTGACAACAGATACAAAAGCATTTGCATACTGCTGTGATCGCATCGTCTGGCATAACTGGAAAGTCAGCTATCTCTTTGGCCGCCCAATGTACGAAATCTTTGCCGAGAAGGAATTTAAGAATCTGTGGCCCTTGCCTACAAGGGAGAAGAATCTAATGCTGCCTCTCGGATGGGACCACACGCTGACCATTGATCAGCTGGAAATCACGGTACCGCGGCTGGTTCTTGATTGCCTCGAAGGCCGAGCTAATATGGTCAGCCGCATCATGTGGGCAGTCAATGAAGGCTTTCCACCGGTTACGGATGCAATGCAGGCAAAGGTCAATAGCATTTATGCGCGTTGGGTGCGCGACCTGTTGCATCCGCCTGAATGGGACACCATTCGCAGCTACCTTTCAGTGTAAGTCGTTTCACCCACAAACTGGTGTACGTATGCCGGGAAGGAATGTGTAATACTACTGTTGCGGCAAAATAGATTATTTCATTGGGTTGCTTCTAATTCTTAAAACAAATCGCGCTTTTTGTAATTAGTAAAACAAATCACATACCTAAGGATTTTCGCACGCATATCTGTACTTGCCGAATATGTAATATTTCAGCTTTCAAGATGTTAGTAATAAATCGTATAATAATTATTACGGTAGGTACTACTGTAACATACTAATATTGGCAATTTGGCATACACAATACGCATTATAGGTTCAGCGGTTTTCACGCTGACGGCACACCCCGATCATGGGTGGACGTTGATCTGACACAAGTGGATACCGCCCAACTCAGCAAAATGGCACTATATGGGATCAACGAAATATTCATGCCTGATCAATAGTCAGAAGAACTTTCGGGACGGCCTTTGCTGAAATGATTCGTTTTGTCGGCAGGAATATTCGCGGTGTGACCGGGGGGTCTCGTTCAACCGCTTTTCCTAGACAACGTTTTAGCCTGGCTGCTGTTAGAGGTCATGCGGCTGCTGTCTTGGGCACATTGAACGCGCGCCCGAAAGTTGGCAATGACACATTATGACAGCAACGATTATGGTTGTTTTTTTAATGTGTAAACCTATCTTTTTATTTGTGTCTATCAGCGTGGGCTTGTTTGTTATGTTAATTGGCTATTGCCTGAATAAACTCGTAGCTCGCCACAATTGCATAAGCAATTTTTCGCGCCGGTGAGTGAACCTTTTCTTCACGGAATCAATAGTTTCGTTGATAATTAAAATTTGCAGGTAAAAACATAACCTATGTCTGTCGAAACACTTATCTGTATTATTTTGCATGTATTTTTCATGCAGAATATGCCTTCGACAGTAATGATAACTGATAAGTAGTTAAGATCTGAATAAGATCTGAATACTACGGTACACTGTATTACCGTATTAGCTCGTGGTCGGCGGAACGCAGTGGTCTGTAACTTTCCGTTTTGATTTTTGACTATTATTTTAGTACTTGATCATTTGATGACCAATGGTCATTGTTCAACAGCTTTGCGTAGAAATTTGAAATAGGTACAGAACTGGCTTCTAGAATTTTAGGGTTAACAGCAAAAATGTTACCAAGAAGACGATTAAGCCGCATTCCATAGTCGACTCTCCGATCTAACTTTCCTTGCCCGCGTATCCTGGATCCAGTCCGGCTTCCCCACGTTATTTGGCATTGCGCTTCGGCGATTAACAGAATTTTCGACCGGAGCGTAGCGAAGGTCCTCCGTATTCAAGACTAATGTATTGGTTGATTTCTGTCCGTTACGAAAATCCGTTACGGAAACTGGATAGTGGATACAAATGTAAAACTATGACATCGTGCAACTACATAACCAGTATGCCCTACGACGATCGCAGCCATTGTCTATGACAACGTGGTTGGCAGCCCTGGCCCGTGACGTACGTAACGACTGTGTACAGCGATACTATACAACTCTTAAGGCCTATTTATACTCGGCTTTAAGACCGTCACATCTCACGGAACTGATGAAATTTCGCAACTATACACACTTCCCCATCTCCGTCACATTGCACGTGACTGACTTGTGGAGTATAACCACATGCCCGGACATCGTCCGAAAGTTAGGTCCGTCAAGTTGATGGCCGTCAAAATTTGGCTTCGTCCGTCAAAATTTTGAAATAGAACTGGTTCTATTTTTTCAAAGTTGACGGACATCAAGTTCTGTACTTTTCGCGCAAGTCTGCTTATATTCAGTAGAGAATTTCCCAAAAGAATTCAAATTTCACCGTTCTTTATGAACTTTCCCCAAACTTGCACAAGGTTTTCACATTACTTTCTACTACGTTTTGTTGCCTTTAACATTTTCAAAATTGTTGCATTAGAAACTTTTAGCATGCGTATGGCGCCGTATGCCACCTTTCATGCGCGATATTTCAGCCTTTAACCCGACCGCGGGTTTACACGTAGTAACAGAAGCGCAGTTTCTGATGTTCACAAATCTAAACAAAATTTAAAAAGAGCTAGGTAATTACTGGCACCAGATGTATGACTAGGTTCCACTTGGCATACATTCAGGACAGATTTCACAACAATTAATTCGGGTTGTTTTGGGCTCGAAATTTGGTTTCTGACGGACATGCTGTCCTAGTATAAATAGAAAGCCGCTTTGCACACGACCGTGATCTAAGCTGGATGTTAGCTCCGTTTTTTGTCACGGCCACCTTTTTTCTCGTATATTCTGGTGGACGTCCATAAAACACATTTTTGACGGACGTAGAAAAAAACGTGACTGAAGTGAAGTATAAATAGGCCTTTATTTCTTTCCGTTACACAAGATTGTTACGGAACAACGTTAGGATGTCAGAGCATTTAACGTAATGCCATTGGTGGTGTCTGTTGTTGTGGGTCTATACAAAATCACGGAGCTGACCGCTGTGACGTGATTATTGACTGATGTGACATAGCGGCCCTATCTCTGTACAGCAATACTGCATCTTTTGATTTCCGTCGATTACGGAAGTCCGTTACGGAAGGTCGTCACGGAAAGAACGCTAGGAAGTTGCGCTACGTCACCGCATTTGCCTATTATGATGATATGACTGGATGTAGTGTAGCCTCATCCCGTGCCTCTGTATAATACACATAAGTTGATCGGCAATATTATAATGGCTCCCGGCAAAAATTTCCCTCTGAAAAGTTTTCATACTAGCCCTTCTAGCTGTTACCATCGGAGATAGTAGGTCATAATGGTCATGAATGATGATGACTCATGATGATGAAATCGTGGACCGGTATGAATTCAAGGTTAGTTTACGGCAAAGTAACCTTGCACCGGTACTTATACGCCCTCCCTTGTCCGTCCGTGCGCCCCTTATGTGGTACATATTTTGCGGTCCTATACCGCCACAGCAGCGGTAATTTTGCTGAAGCGATGTGACCCGGTACATGACCCAAAATTCGTGTGCAGGCACGACAATTTTTGTTTTCGAGCACTCAAAAAATTAATACTTTTGCATTGAGTTCTTTCAATGCGCAGCGAAGTGGTTTGTATACATTCGGGTGAAAACCGTTTCGCAGGCAACATCTGGTTGGGGAAATTCCAAAATGTTTAAATGTATTTAGGTGTATCAAAAGGCTTATTATGGTCCGACTTTTCAAATTTTTTAAGAAAACGCACAATCGCTAAAAAATCGCTTTTACGCTGAACCAGATTTTCGCGATGTGGGTAAAGCTGCAAAATGGATAAAAAATCTAGACATAATTTTTTTAAAATGGAAAAAAAATGATACAACCCTGGCTCGTTGTTCAAACGATCTACATGCTGATACGCTTTTTATGCAATATTTGAAGAAGATCAGTTGATAACATGGGGCTTTTGGTACGCCTCCGTGCTGGAATCTTGGTTCCACCATGATTCTCCCACCGCATGTTCTGAGCGCAAACGGTTTCCACGCCAGTGTATACAAATTACCTAGCTCCACAGTGCCATAAAAAATGCAGAAAGGTATTTGGGAGTGTGCGAAAGCGGAAGCTTTGGTGTATATGTACACGAATTTGGTACGTATCATGTATTTGGTCAGTTCCCATAAATCACGCTCCGGTCTGCCAATGCACGACAACATGCATTTTTCTAGTATTAAATTGGCTATTCCATAATGCCTGAATTATTATGGCTGAAGTTATTGCCGCCGCTGAATATCTTTATATTCATACAAGCTTACCGACCAAAGCGTATTTATGCGCCGTTTTTACCCAGTGGTCAGAAGATGGTTTCACCAGGTCTTAAGTATAGGAAACGTAAAGAGCACTCGAAGAAGTAAGTACTGTATTGACTGCACAGTTATGAAAAGCCCATAACACAATGACTGTAACCACGGAGACTAAACCGGGTACATAAATACTTCTTTTTTAATGTAGATTGTAGATGAAAAATTATTATGTGAGCAGCAAATTACTTACGTAAACCTCCATAAAAGGTAAAGTACATTGCCCAGTATCCCGCTTACACAGTATCTATACGTCAGAACGTAAAACATCAGATGTCAGGACGCCAAAAGACAGAACGTCAGGTAATCCGTACGTGAAAAATTAATAACGTCTGAAAGTGAAAAATCAAAAACGCCAAAAATTCAGAACGTCAGAAATTCAGAACGTTAGGTGAAATTAGGTGAAATTTAGGTGAAATTATATGTTATTACGTCATGCAAAAGTCCATACGTATTTCAGAGCGTCAAAACGTCAGAAATTCAGTACGTATGACCGTCAGAACGTAACACGGTTAGAAAGTCATAAAGTAAGAACATCGGAACGTCAGAACGTTAGAATGTCATAACGTCAGAACGCCAGAACGTCAGAACGTCATAAAGTAAGAACGTCAGAACGTTAGAACGTCAGAACTTCATAACGTCAGAACGTCAGAACGTCAGAATGTTAGAACGTCAGAACGTTAGAACGTCAGAATGTTAGAACGTCAGAGCGTTAGAACGTCAGAACGTTAGAACGTCAGAACATCAGAATGTTAGAACGTCAAAACGTCATAAAGTAAGAACATCAGAACGTCATAACGTCAGAATGTTAAACGTCAGAACGTCAGAACGTTAGAACGTCAGAACGTCATAAAGTAACAACATCAGAACGTTATAACGTTAGAACGTCAGAACGTCATAACGTCAGAACGTCATAAAGTAAGAACATCAGAACGTCAGAACGTTAGAACGTCAGAACGTCATAAAGTGAGAACATCAGAACGTCATAACGTCAGAATGTTAAACGTCAGAACGTTAGAACGTCAGAACGTCATAAAGTAAAAACATCAGAACGTTAGAACGTCAGAATGTTAGAACGTCAGAGCGTTAGAACGTCAGAACGTTAGAACGTCAGAACATCAGAATGTTAGAACGTCAGAACGTCATAAAGTAAGAACATCAGAACGTTATAACGTTAGAACGTTAGAACGTCATAACGTCAGAAGGTCAAAACGTGAAAAATTAAAATTGTCAGAACGTCGGAAATTCCGAACGTCAGCCTTTATATATTTACAATGACCTTTCCGAAACAAAGCCAATACTATCCAGTACTTAAGTGCCGAGCGCGGATGCGCGAGGCTACCTTGTCTATACATTCATACAATCTTACCGTCAAAAGGCGTAATTCCGTGGGTTATTATGGATAAATCAACGCGTGGTCGGTATAAGTCAAGCTTAGTCTTGAAATGATTCTTATTTTCCATAGGTATTTACGTTGAATTTTGATTGGACCTAGACCCTTCCAGTTCCACAAACTCTCTTAGTCGTCTTAAGTACTGGAGAACATACGAAATCCATGTTTGTGTACTTAACACAACGGGATCATTGAGAAATTACGTATGGACAGTAAAGACGAGGGCAGGTTGACGAATTCTGCAGAACCTTACAGTTAACACTACTCAGGAACTCAACCACCACGAGGGGCGGGTGGAATTTTTGTGGTCTTTTGCCTTCCTGAAATTTGTGGATGATCCTGACAAAGCACCCTCTTACTTTTTATTTGAGATACCTGACATCTGTACAGCACGGTTTATTTTAACGATAAGTACAGATATAGGTGAAGCAAAGTACAGATACAGAAAGCTGTAACCAAGGATCTGAGAATATACTGTATTAAATTATTATGTACTGCTACATATAGTACAAAGTTAAAGTAACCTTTCTAGTTAAAGGAGGACCTAACATGGTGAGCGCAGATGCGAAAGGCTTTTGTACCCTTGCTGCATCATACACACATTCTCACCGTCCATTAGACGTCCAAGCGAAATCTGTAGCTGAGTGACCGACCGACCGATCTACCACGACTCATTATCAACATCTCTAGATGAGTGAGTGAAAGAGCTACAGTATCAGCACTGTCCCAGCTGTGACCTAGCTACCAGACCTGGGCAGTTAATTTTAACTATTTAACTTAACTTGAGTTTTTTTCGAGTTAACGAGTTATAACTTAACTCTGAAACTTAACTCGCCAGGACGAAAACTTAACTCTAGCGCAACTCAAAAATAAGTTAGCGCAACTCAAGTTTAGCGTAACTCTGAAGATTCCAGTTGCTAGTAAAAACGAAATTAAAATATGGAAAATGTTATGAAAAATCTGCTCTGAAAGTGGATCGCAAAATTTCCATAACTGCAAACGCCTTTATGCAAAAAAACTGCTTAACCGATGTACACTGCGACCGCCAAAGGCATCATCTGGGCTTAACGTAGAAATACTGGTACTGCTTAACGTAGTTTTCTGTGGATATTTTGTGAAGCCTCTTGTTCTTCGTGAAAAAAATTGCCCCCCCCCCTTTTGTCCTGTTGTAAATGTGTAATTCTGAACACCGATGAATATTGGTGCGTCGCATAATGATGCGGGCATGTCGACGACGACTAATACGGGTGCGTCGGCGTCGGCTTATAAAGCTCTGGTAGCGTGCAGAAAACGGAGCGGAGTACTTTAGACAGTTTCTTACGGAGCAAGCTTCGGCCAACGGGAGAAGCAAATCGAATGTTCCGCATCGAATCACACAAAATTTTGTCGTTTTTGCATCTCCGCTACTTGTCCACTGGGGAAGCGAATTAAAGGAAATGGCCCGGTACATGCTGTCAAAAATGGGATACATACACTAACTTTCGCTTTCGCGCACTCCGAATCCCTTTTTTGTGATACTTTATGTCATTCTAAAGCTGAATGATTTGTATACATTGTTCTGAAAACCGTTTGCGCAGCATCCGGTTGCCGAGATATAGCGTATTAGAATAGAAAAGTTTAAATGCATTGGTATATACTATATACCAAAAGTCTGGTTGTTACCCGATCTTCTTGAAACTTTGCTATAAAAGACACATGGCCATAAAGTCAAAAGTGAACCAATATGAGATCCATAGCGTTTTTTCCGATTTCAAAATGAATTTCAAAAATTTCAAAATTCATTTTAAAATCATGGGAAAGTGCTATGAGCCTGAAATTGGTTCACTTTCGGGCTTTATGACCATCTGTCTTTTGCAGCAAAGTTCCAAGAAGATCGGGGAATAACTCAGACTTTCGTACACACCAATGCATTTAAACTTTTCATCCATTTAATACGCCATATCTCGGCAACCGATTTTGCGCGCAAACGCTTTTCCGAACAATGTATACAAATCATTTAGCTTTAGAATGACATAAAGTATTACGAAAAAGTGATTCGGAGTGCACGTAAGCAGAAATTTTAGTGTATGTATCCTATTTTTGACGCTGTGCACCGGGCCATTGTCCTTAATGCAGTCCAACAGCCACACTAACTTTTGCAGTCATGTAAAGCAAAACGGCAGTACAAACGTTCGGAGTTGCCGGCGCTCTCCTGGGTCTCAGAGGGGCTAACTGACTGATAAAATTTTAAAAATCAGTTGTTTTGAAAAAAGTAATTATGATCTGTGCAATTTTGAGTTTAACCTATGTTAACTTGAATAACCCAATAAATTGAGCAGTATTTTGAACCTGGTAGTAGCGATACCGTTACGCGTAAGAGATTAATTAATTGAAGATGATTAATAAAGCGCCGAAATTTTTTTTATTGTGACTTAACTCGCGTTAAAGCTCGTAACTCCAGTAATTGCATTAACTTAACTCGTTAACTTAACTCGCGACCTGCGATTAACTCGTAACTCTAACTATGAGCCGAAATTCCATAACTGCCCAGGTCTGCTAGCTACCACGGTTATCCCGTGAGCACAATCTGTAGGCGAGTGAGTGGCCGAGTTATTTCATAAATTCAAGCCTAACCTTTCCAATACACACTTGCCGAGCGCGGATCGCGAGGCTTACCTTGTAAGAATTAACGATAAGTAAGTACTTACTGTATCGGCATTATGGAGAAGTGAAAACGAGAAAACAGACGTGTAGCTGCCGAACTGGGGGTTGAGCCATACGGACCGTCATAAGAACTGTAATCGACCATTTCGCGTGACACTCATCAGTCGCACAATACTCGTTGCACGAGACTCGAGAGGAAACAATTTCTGGACTTTGTCCTGACTTTTGGCCCGCGTATCAAGTATGACAGTACTGTGGAAAACTGAGAGTGCTATTTGTGTTGATGACAGTCAGTGACAGGCAGATGCGCTAAGGAAAAGGAGTGATTTCATTATAGTTGGACCGATTAAGAAGTTGGCCTGAAGTCTGAACCTCGAACACGTTACGCGTGTACCATTGGCTCCTGATGCCACTCCTAAGTCCTAATGAAGTTTCTTACCGATTAAGAAGCTGGCCGATTAAGAAAATCTGCGAAATTTCTTGATCACTCTATCAGCAGAGCGATTAAAAAGATGAGCGATTAAAAAATCTCCTTGCTCAGGTTTTTAATCGGTCCTGGTTTTAATCGCTCGTTTTCCTTAGCGCACGCCCGTGTGAGTCAGGGCAGAAATCTTTATGGAACGCGCGAGTGGAATTTTTCATTTTGTGGAGCAGAGTTTTGTCGTGTCGATTTGTCTCGGATTCGCTCGGTTGGGAATTAAAAAGGTAATTTCTGGTAATTATTAAGGTGATTCAGCACTATCTTTGCCCAGAATTATACGGTTGCTAGTTTCACTTAATTTTGCTTATTTTGATTTTTTTCCAATTTTTATTTTGTAGTGGCGCTTATACCTGTCTTTTGTTATCCATTCACGGCTTCGTTTATATTCTCAGTAAAATTTGAATTTTTCACGTGAGTAAATCACTGTAAATGGTATTAATGCTATTCGTCCATTCAGCACGATATTAAACTGATAGTAGGACTGTAAAAGTTGTGACGTTAGAATTCTAAGATCTTCGCTATTTTTGTAAGTTTTGTTTTCGACTTTCTGCAGTTTTTTAACGGTGAGTGTAGAACGGAGACTGTGGGGAATGTTGGTTCTTGTGAGCTGTTAGCCCAGTTAGGTGATGAGGGGCTTCTCATGTAACTCATGACTTATTGAGTTATGAACACATATCGCATTTAGTATTTACCTGATCAACGTTTTTTCCCAAGGTCGATCTCTGTGGTGTGCTTCTCCTTCGCGCCCTCTGTCACCTGGCAAATGAATTCTTCGCTTCCCCTTTCGCCTTCAGCATCCCACAGTGCGGAGCCTGTTCTCCCCTCGCTGCCATCGGATGATTCCGGCCTGATCGCCATCCGGTCTCCTGGTAGCGTGGACGACGCATCACCGCCCCCAGGTGCCACTTGCATGAACGACCATGTGCAGGTGTGGAACGCATGGCTTTCGGTCGACCAGAACGACCGGGTGCAGGGTGGTGCGGCGAAGCTGCCGCCCTGCGGTGGCGACCTGTGGAACAGCGCGTTGGACGCTTTTATCAAGGGAATGCAGCAGTTGGACTTGCAGGATGCGGAGGATGATGATGCCGGCACCGCGCCAGGGAAGAGGAAAAAACGCACCATGCAGAACCCGGAGCTGCTTCGTGTGGAGCCAACGGCCCCGCAGAATGCGCCGGAAACCCGTTGGGCCATGGTTGAACGCCTTCTGCAGACACTGCTGCACGTCGGATATTGCCACAGTGATACCTGCAGCGTACGCGCCTGTCAGAACATAAAACGCTTAATCTCCCACACAAGGACCTGTCAACTGAAATTCACCGAGGAATGTTCGCTCTGCTGGCCGCTGATCGCGCTGTGCTGTTACCACGCCAAGCAGTGCAACGAGTGCCAATGTCTCGTGCCTTTCTGCCAAGCGATCCGCCCCGAATGGGAACAGCAGCGCCGTGGCCAGGAAGAGGTCGTAGAAAACTTGGGCGGCCAGTCACTTCCACCGCCGTCGGAAGGTGTGCCGGCGCCCTCGAGGGGCGGTCAGTCGGCAACGGCGTATCAGCAGTCGGTGGAAGTGAATTCTCCGCCCAATACCAGTACTCTGTCGACGCTGGATGGCGGCGTGCCGCAGGGCACCCTCCGTGAGACGTCGGTGGTGTCGCCGGCCAACACCAACACCCTCATCAGTTTCATGTCGTCACCACCGACCAACTCTCCCCTGGACAATCCTCCACAGTTCGCTCCTCAGAAAGGGTCCATCAAGGAGTGGCATCTGCACGGGGTCGGTCCCGACGGCCAGGCCAGTGTTGACTCATTACGCAGGCATATCATCGGAAAACTGTACGTACCAGACCTGGGCAGTTAATTTTAACTATTTAACTTAACTTGAGTTTTTTTCGAGTTAACGAGTTATAACTTAACTCTGAAACTTAACTCGCCAGGACGAAAACTTAACTCTAGCGCAACTCAAAAATAAGTTAGCGCAACTCAAGTTTAGCGTAACTCTGAAGATTCCAGTTGCTAGTAAAAACGAAATTAAAATATGGAAAATGTTATGAAAATCTGCTCTGAAAGTGGATCGCAAAATTTCCATAACTGCAAACGCCTTTATGCAAAAAACTGCTTAACCGATGTACACTGCGACCGCCAAAGGCATCATCTGGGCTTAACGTAGAAATACTGGTACTGCTTAACGTAGTTTTCTGTGGATATTTTGTGAAGCCTCTTGTTCTTCGTGAAAAAAATTGCCCCCCCCCCCTTTGTCCTGTTGTAAATGTGTAATTCTGAACACCGATGAATATTGGTGCGTCGCATAATGATGCGGGCATGTCGACGACGACTAATACGGGTGCGTCGGCGTCGGCTTATAAAGCTCTGGTAGCGTGCAGAAAACGGAGCGGAGTACTTTAGACAGTTTCTTACGGAGCAAGCTTCGGCCAACGGGAGAAGCAAATCGAATGTTCCGCATCGAATCACACAAAATTTTGTCGTTTTTGCATCTCCGCTACTTGTCCACTGGGGAAGCGAATTAAAGGAAATGGCCCGGTACATGCTGTCAAAAATGGGATACATACACTAACTTTCGCTTTCGCGCACTCCGAATCCCTTTTTTGTGATACTTTATGTCATTCTAAAGCTGAATGATTTGTATACATTGTTCTGAAAACCGTTTGCGCGCGCAACATCCGGTTGCCGAGATATAGCGTATTAAAATGGGTGAAAAGTTTAAATGCATTGGTATATACTATATACCAAAAGTCTGGTTGTTACCCGATCTTCTTGAAACTTTGCTATAAAAGACACATGGCCATAAAGTCAAAAGTGAACCAATATGAGATCCATAGCGTTTTTTCCGATTTCAAAATGAATTTCAAAAATTTCAAAATTCATTTTAAAATCATGGGAAAGTGCTATGAGCCTGAAATTGGTTCACTTTCGGGCTTTATGACCATCTGTCTTTGCAGCAAAGTTCCAAGAAGATCGGGGAATAACCAGACTTTTGGTACACACCAATGCATTTAAACTTTTCATCCATTTTAATACGCCATATCTCGGCAACCGGATTTTGCGCGCGCAAACGCTTTTCCGAACAATGTATACAAATCATTTAGCTTTAGAATGACATAAAGTATTACGAAAAAGTGATTCGGAGTGCACGTAAGCAGAAATTTTAGTGTATGTATCCTATTTTTGACGCTGTGCACCGGGCCATTGTCCTTAATGCAGTCCAACAGCCACACTAACTTTTGCAGTCATGTAAAGCAAAACGGCAGTACAAACGTTCGGAGTTGCCGGCGCTCTCCTGGGTCTCAGAGGGGCTAACTGACTGATAAAATTTTAAAAATCAGTTGTTTTGAAAAAAGTAATTATGATCTGTGCAATTTTGAGTTTAACCTATGTTAACTTGAATAACCCAATAAATTGAGCAGTATTTTGAACCTGGTAGTAGCGATACCGTTACGCGTAAGAGATTAATTAATTGAAGATGATTAATAAAGCGCCGAAATTTTTTTTATTGTGACTTAACTCGCGTTAAAGCTCGTAACTCCAGTAATTGCATTAACTTAACTCGTTAACTTAACTCGCGACCTGCGATTAACTCGTAACTCTAACTATGAGCCGAAATTCCATAACTGCCCAGGTCTGGTACGTACTACGTAGTGCGCACTTGAATTGCGACGTTATGGTTTTCAATATTAAACGCCGCAAATGCAATATACTTACCTTTTGTCATTTTGTGTAATTAGAATAATGATCTTTTGGTTGTAGATAATATACTTATCAATGTTAAGTACTTAAACTGTACCTTTATAATATCCTGATGATGTACTGTAAGTACAATACGAAGCATCCGAAGAACAGACCGTTTTCGTTTCCGTTTTCAGACCAACCGTTTTCGTTTTTTTTCATTTTTATAGATTTTTCCCAAAAATATGTATTTTTAAAAAATCGAAATTTTTCTGTGGTTTTTAGTGTATTTGCCATTTTCCCGTACAAGAATCAGTCGTCCGTGGCCGACAAACGGATGACCAACCTCATCTGCTACGCCCGCAAAGTGGAGGCGGAAATGTACGATCAGGCCAACACCCGGGAAGAATACTGCCAACTGATGGCCGAGAAGATCTACCAAACCCAGAAGGAGCTGCAGGAGAAGCGCCGCAACCGCCAGGAACAGATCCGGATGCGTCTTGCGGGGGCGGGCGGGATGGGTGGTGGCGGCCTGACTTCCGCGCCCGGTATGGAGCTGCTGGTCCGTCTCCGCAATTTCATGCAGGACATTCCTCAACTGGTAACGGGCGGGGGGAAGAAGGCCAGGACGGAAGACCGCGGCGAGGGGAGGGAAGAACAGCCGGCACAGGACGCTGTGCAGCCCCGATAAGCGGTCTTCGGGTCAGGACTCAGGATGCGACAGCCGGGCTTTTGATAGTAGTGCTTTCTTACTGGGTGGCCGAACAAAATGTCGGTCTGTTTCTTTGAAGTGTTGCGGGTCCGTCCAGCCTTTAATTGACTGTTTTCTAGTTTAATTTGAAAGAGCAGTGTTCGCTCGATATAAAAAATAGGTATTAAAACGAACATTGCACAAAGCTATGAATTTTTTATAAAATCTTCGGAAAAAAATGGGTGGAGTTGGGGATGTCCCGGAGACCCAAATTCAAATTTGCCCATTTTTGAATTAAAAATTGCCGTTATTCGACGAAGTATTTTCATGGGTATAACCTTACTATTTCGGATAGTCAGTACAGTACTGCGCAGGTAGAATACGATGCAAGTTACGCAACTGACCATTAAGTACTGCTGACGCGACTACCGACGATTCTACTGACGCCGATATCCCTTATTTTAGCACAAGAAACGCCATTATATGTAGTTACGTACATAGCGCGGCAGTCCCGTAGCTTTATTTCGTGCAAAAGTGTGTTAAAAATCCGAATTACAAGGAAAAATTGCTGCGACTTATGGCATAATCCACGTGTCTGACCAGTTCATTTTTACCACATATACGTACAGCGAGAATTAATAGCGTAAAGCAAACAAAAATCAAAAGAATGATTTCCTTCAAATACAGATTATTACAATTTAACCGTCTTCACTGTACAAAACGTAATATTAACCATATTTTATTCGTTACTTCATAGGCTAAATTAATTCTTCATTATCTCCAGAAAATTCCGGGAGCTGGCAAAATACTTGTTAGGAAATTACCGCGTCCAGTGTATCGTACAGATAACTCGTTGACGGTCCCGGCGCCCGCAACATGATGGTCAATCCGCAAGGGGTGCCGCAGACCGGCGCACGAGCCAGAATGGGCACGTCCTAGTGATGGGTACGTGTTAGTGAAATTCCATAAAAGTTTCATTTGATTTAAAAGTACTGTATGCAGTTTTATTATTAACGCTCGGACTATTTTGACTGCCTAGCTGTAAGGTGCATAGAGTCGCTTCGAGACGCACAGTTCTCGACGCACATGAGCGATTTCCTTCAGAGTAGCATTGTATTCCTGTAGAAATCATTTTCCTGTTGTAACAGGCAAGCGCGAGGAGATCACGAGTGAGCTTTATTGTACAAATAAAGGAACAATGCTGCGTAATAGCAGGGAATGCAAGAACAAAGCACTGATGGCTAAACAAGCAAGTGAGTGCTAGAAAAGCTCTTGAGCGTTCGCCAAGGCGTGAAAGAAGCAACTGCCGGCAAGCACGTGCTGTGTGCCATCAGCTGTGTGATGATGCGCAGACTGGACTCAATCCAACGCGAGCGTATGAACGCTGAGTCATACTGCGAGAGAGGAACGAGAGAGCAAGTGTGGCTCAGTGTATGCGCTGCGTATATCCGCTTCAGCGGATATGAGTGCAGTGCAGCAGCACACGTACGTACAGCGAGAGAGGCGATAACGGCAAGTATGAGTGCCAGTACGTCCAGTGTGGACCGTACGCACCAGGCACAGTCGTACGCCTCTGACATGCCTCTGGGCAGGAATCCGAGCTCCTGCGAAGGATGCTCCGACTCGGTACCGCACCAGTACCGCACAACTCTCCAGTCGGACCCAATGTGGGGTCGCTGGTACGCGTCCTCTGGCAGTGGGAGTCCGGTGTCTGGTCGACCGTCCCTTCTTCACTTCCGAACCCATGAGTGGAAGCCACTCACGGCCGAAAAATCCGGAAGCCGCTCGGGCATTTCGTTGGACCGGTGGTGCTTCTGTTGGCTGGCTTCTTGCTTCTGTTGGCAGCGGAGAACAATGTGAAAGAAAAATGTAATGAAAGTTGTGTACAGCGCGAAAGAAAGTATGAAATAAAGTTTAATCACAATTCCAGTGAGCAAAAGGGGTTACAAAACAGATCTGTTAAAGAGATCGAACTAGAAAAATACAATTCCGTTTGTTAGGAGAGAGAAAAATACTAAAAAAAAATGCAAAAATCTGTCCGGGGGTCCTATTCCGACTAGGATGACGTCCACGGGGCAATTGAGTCTCCACGGGGTCTCCTGTCCAATTTCATCCGGTAAGTTGGGTCCGAGGCATCAGTTCCCGGGTTACCCGTCATAACCGGTTACATTCGCCGAGGTCGGATAAGCACGGTTAAACACTTACTTCCGACTCGTATCCTTCCGTTAGGGATAGAGAGGCACTGTTGCGGTTGCAAATGCCGAGGCATTCTCTCTGAATGGGGAATAGGGCCGAGGTCGGTTTGACCAAGGTCGGCCTACCGGTAAGTCGACCGGCGGCTGGGGGAAATTCGGCTATGTTCCGAATTGCTAAAGTCCAGGTCGGAAAGAGCTGTATGTAAGTCATGCGGCCTGTGTGGTCGTCATGTACAGCAGTTCCGTTAGAAAGTGGTCGATTACAACCGTTCAATCTGCTACCACGAGCCTGGTTTGGAGTTATCCGAGTCGAACTGGCTCGAAGGTCCGGTCGGAAATCATGGGTTGTTTTGATGGAAATGTCTAGTCGACTTCCATCCGGTATGTTCCGTTGTTATCCGACTTTCGGTCGAGGTCGGTAATCCTATCCGTTGGAGGTCGACTGGGGTTAACCTACAATAACATGCCCATGTGGGGCTAAGCAGTTCCTTCAAGTCGAATTCGTCCACCGCAGGCGATTGTTGTTCTTCTTCCGTCATGCTGACCGAGTTGGCGACTTCCGACTTGTAGTCGGTTATGGTCGACTTTGGGAGGTCGGATGAACTGTGTGCTCATCCGTCCAAAGGCTAAATTTTTCCGTTAGGAGGTCGGTTCTCGACTTCCAAATGCCTTTGCCGACTTGTTGTAGTCTCCTTCCGACTTCTATTCGGTCACTTCCGACCTTCGTTTGGGGTCGGCTATCTTTATCGAAGTTCCAAGGTCGGCTGACTTCCGACTTCCTTAGGTCGGACGAACTGTGTGTTCACCCGTCGAAAAAGGCAAAATTCTTCGGCTAGGAGGTCGGCTTCCTACTTCTGATAAATTCTCCGACTTCCATCTGGTGGTTGTCAACTTCTTCTTAGGAGTTCTGTGCATTCGGCTACAGTTGGCCGGGTCCTTGGTGTCGGGACATCCTTCGGTCAGTTCGGACTGGCAGAAGGATGTTCGGCAGCACAACTCCGTTCCTTCTATAATTTCTGACATGAACTCCAGGTCGGATCCGAGCTACTGTTGAGGTCGGTCAATCCGAATAACTTGCTTCTGGGTCGCCGAGTCTTACGAGGTAGAAGTTCCTTGGCATCTGTTGGCCGATTGACTGGTGTTTCATCATGCACTGCGCTCGCCACAACGCTAAGGGTCTTTGTGGCCCCGGTTGACAAGACGAGCTCTTTGGTTTAAACTTCATGCACATGGAAGTCCCTGAGGTCGTCAGATCCGATTCTTCCATTCTGTTTTGCCGCGAACCTGAGACGCCTAGCCGCTTCTGTTGGGGGTAGACAACTCACGTCCACGGGGAAATTTTTCTTTTGCCGGTGACGCTGTCCAACTGGCCGTTACTGTTGCGGGCAGGTAGGCATCGCCATCGGGGATTCGTTGAGGGGTGCAGGCTGAGTGTTCTAACTCGGTCTGCCTAGGATGTTCCATTTGAGACATGTGGAAGCAGGTCGCGGCGGAGTCATTGGAGTGGCGGCCAAATCACCGTCGCTGTTCCTCTTCAGGGAATGGCAGCACGTTCAAAGACGCGCGTAGTCGTGGTCACCGGTGAATCGGCTGGTTTACCCGATATCGCCCGGGGGAGACTGCGGTTGATCTCCAGGTACAGAGCCTGTAGGTCTGGATTCAAACGGAGAATCCGGTTGAATTGCCACGTAACTACTGCCGGCTTCCATCTATTCTCCATAATCGACTTCTGTTGGCCGCCATGGTCGACCTGTGTGGTCGGCTATGATGTCGATTTCTCGTTAGTCGATCTGGCAATCGTTTCCAAAGCCGACTTGTGTAGTCGGCTTGCACAACCGACCTGTGTGGTCGGCTGATGCAGCTATGTCCGCAGTGTCTCCAAATTATGAGGAAAGTACAAAGTCGGCCTTTGTGGTCGACTCAAGTACGCGTAGTCAAATCCGAGTATTCCTGCGCTGTTGGCGACTCGGCCGAGGGATTTCCGCCGTTTACAATGGTGAAGGCTGCTCGGCTACCCGGTTCCGAGGTTGGCCACGGGTGCTTGGCAAACATGGCGTTGAACACGCAGCGATGTGTTCAACGCCATGTTAGCGTAATCCTCTCGGTTTTTTCTCCGGAGTCGGTTGGCCGGAGTGATCTCCATGTAACGCGGATTGGGGCTTCTGTTGGCTCCGATAATCGCAGAACGTGGTTGACGATCTGTTCGTGCCGTGCTGGGGAACCGTGGTCGGTTTGCTCGGTTCGTTCCAGGGGATTCCTTCAGGGACGTCCCGGTACGGTGAAAGAACCGAAATACCCAGGTGTGACCACGCGTTTCCGGGTCCAACCAAAGAATCCGGCCGACTTGTGTAGTCAGCGTTCTGGCAAAGTCATCGTTGACGTCCGCTGTATACATGGTTAGTCGGTTTCCATGAAAAGAATTAAAGAGGAGTATCCATTCCGCTAAGTCGTTTCTCGACGGTGCTGTTTCTCAGCTAGGCTGTTTCTCAGTCAGGTCCCCGAAGTTATTCCAAATGGGGGATCGAGTTCCAGTGTGGGAACTCGACCTTAACTGAGTGGGACTTCGACAGGTTTATCGCCGCCGAAGTAATCTTCTTCTTCATCGTCGTCCGGGCCAGGTCGGTTGTGTGGCCGGATGGTTGGGTCCCTTGGTTTACAAGACGCCGAGCCACCACGCTGAGACATCTCGTCGGTCTCATCGGTTTCCTGGCCTGAACGCTCCGCTCTACCCTTCCTCGATTCCCTGGCCGCCTGTTTCCGGAGCCGCAGCGCATACGGTCGTGCGCCGGGTGCTATGTCGTCCGACATCCAAGGTTCGTAGGGCGACGAGTTAAATCCGCTAGGCAAAGTCTTTCTTTCGCGGTACCAGCTGATGAACCGAGTTGCGTCGTCGCTGGGATCTACGTGATCCTCACGAAAGGCATACTTTGCCGCATACCGTTCATGGGTGTACAGCAAGTCGCGCATCCAGACAGCCAGGATAACACTTCTCATCGGTGTGCCAAGTTGGGCTACGAGGGTCTCCACAGCCGCTGGTATCATTTCGTTCTGGTACAATCCGTACAGGGTATAATGGCAAAAGTAGTTGCCAAGTCGGGCTGCGAAAATGAATCGCAAAAATGCCGTGACTTCGTCCTGGGC